TAATGTGACTGCATCATCCTTAAAACAGGAACGCAGCAGGAGTCAGAGGTGCTGTGATAACAGAGGCAGAGGTTGGGGAATTAATAAAGGAAGTAGCCAAGGAATTTGGGAAACCTCTAGAAGCTGGAAAAGGCAGGAAAATACGTCTCCCCTGGAGCCTCCAGAGGGAACCAGCCCTGTGAGACCTGCTTTTGGCCCAGGGAGACCGTTCCTTGACTTCCGACCTCTAGATCTGCATAGGAAAATAAATGTGGTGTTTTGTGCCGTGAGTTTGTGGTGCTTTGTCTCAGCAGCAACAGGAAACTGATACACAGCACCCTGAGTTCCAACTGCTGGAGCCCCACGGGCCCCCACCTCTGGGGGCTCAGCAGCCGGGGTCTCCTTTGCAGAGCCCAGCCTGGAGGCTCCAGGTGAGACATGGCCCCAGGGAACGGGCCTTGCCACGTCCTGCTGTCCTCTCCCTGCAAGGACAGGCTGGTGCCAGAGCTATGATCCGCGTCCTGTGCCGGGCGAAGGAAGGGGAACTGCATCCGGAAGGGAAAGGAAGCGTCCTCACAGTCGTGGTGCTGACCCTCCTCCGGCCCAGTGCAAACTAAGGGGGACAGTCCACAGAGGTTTCAGCAGGGAGAGAGGCTGATCCATGAGGCCCCGGAGAGGGCTGGCTCGGGCATGGGGCCCCTGCAGGGGCTTCATCCCCTGGGTCATGACCCCCAGAGAGCCCCTCCCAGTCCCAAGCTGGGGGCTCCCACCTTCCCTGTTCACAAGAACCCCCTGGGGAAATCTGGTGGTAAAATTCACAGGACATAAAATTTACCCTATTAACCACTTTAAAGTGGACGGTTCAGTGGCACTTAGTATGCATGCAGTGTCACACAACCATTGAGTTCCAGCCCATTTGTATCACCCCAAAAAGAACTCCAGTACCTTCAGCCATCACGCCTCCCCTCCCCTTCCCCCGCTCCCCCAGCCCTAAGCAGTCATGGATCTGCGGTCTCCGGATCTGCCTGTTCCCCCACAGACGGACTCATACACTACGTGGTTTTTGTGTCTGGCTCCTTTGACTTAGCACGGCCTTTGCTAACTGGTCCATTTTGCAGGCAAGCTCAGCAGATGCAGTGCGATGGCTGCCGGGACAGGTTTGCCAACAGCCGAGGTTGTTCCTGTTCCCTCCGGGTCTTCACGCACGGGACCTGCTCCTGTAAGAGCACAAGGTGGACAAGTGCACGGCAGGGAAGACCTCAGGCCTGCGTGTCCCTGTGGCAGATGGGGCTGAGGGTGGTGCAGCACCTTCAAGCTGCCTGCAACCAGAGCCCCGCCTAACTCTCCAGGGGGAAGGTGCTTAGGGGTGAGTCCAGGCCCAACCTCCACGCCAGCCCCTTTTGGTTCCCCAGGGCTCCCATGGTCTAACTGTAGTTGTGATGGCTTGGTTGCTTGTTTCTTTGGTTTTTAAAAAGATGTCATCGTTCACTATGACAATGAGAGTCCACGCCAGAAGAAAACGTTCCCTCAAAGCAAGGAGTTGGCCGGCCTGGGCCACAGACTTCTTGCACGTCTGTCACCGTGATCTACCCCTGACCACGGCCGACTGAGTGCTGGCCCTGTGTCAGGGCCGGGCGGTATGATGGCGCATGGCCTGGTGCCGTGATCAGTGAAGGCCCACGAGCAGGAAATGGCGGGGCTAGAACTGGACGCCAGGGCCGGAGCCCTAGTTCAACGTCTGTGTCCTGAATAGTGACATCCTTTCTACAACATTCCTCCCACCTGGGCCCAGCTATCCCATGGCAGCCACGGGGCAAGGCCTTTCCCCTTGGACAGCGCATCGCACGTCCGACCTCATGGATCGCATCTTCCCAGGGGCTCACTCCCCACCACGGACGCTCTCCGCACCTGAGCTCCCCTCTCCAGCTCAATCCCGCCCGCTCCTTCGTCGACCTCATTGCTCCCATGACACTGTCCCAAGAGCCCAATCAGTCGTCCTCCCAGCTTGTCACACTGCCCCTAACGTGAGGCAGACACAGAACATCACACAGACGCCAGCAGGTGGGGCAGAGGTTGGGCACAGGGCTTCATGCCAACTCTGCTTGTGCTACTCGTAGTGGGGTCCTGGAAGGCACTGCCACTCCCTCCGTGAAATGGAGCCAGTGATGCCTACTCTCCAGTGTTTGTGTACGGATGACGCTGGTGCACATCCTTAGACGTAGCACAGCGAGCCTGGCACCCAGCTCCTGCCAGTCCCGTTCTCGCTGCAGACAGGGGAGGCCCCGCCTTGGTTTTCTGTCACACCTAACACAGCCCCTTCAGCAGGCACGTCACATGCTGCCTGGTCCTGGCACCGCTTTCTATGCCCGTGGGCTTCAGTACTGCACGGGACCTGCCCTTTATTCCAAGACCAACCGTAGTCTTTGCGTGTTGCTACTGAGCTTTACCTCGTTAGGCTGCCCCTCACGCAGGTCCCTACTTGGAGATGCAGCAACCACAGGCCCCTAAAAATCTTGGTACCTTAACAACTTTCTCCTGTTCTTGACTTAGACTCACTGCCTGGGTGTCCATGCTTGTCCATCTCTGTCCTCCCCCAACACGTGACCCTCACATAGGCACCGTGAGACTGCTGGGAGCGCGCTCGGTCCTGGGGTTGGCAGGGCCGCCCCACCTAAACAGCAGGACTGGTCTCTGCGGAAAGCAAGTAGGGCGGCAAACAGCCTTGGCACAGGGAAGATGGTGACAGGACAGCCGGTCCCGAAAGCAAGTGACACATGTAGACATACACTCCGGGCAGAACAGAGGATACCCTGGGTCCAAGCACCATCTTTCAGGGATGAGGCACCCAAGCTCCCAGGAGACCGGTGAGCCTGAGGCCGCAGCTGGCATGGGGACTAAACCCCCGGGTCATCGCGTGGGGTCTGGGGCTTCATTCTGCAATCACCTCACCCACACACAGTGTTTGCATGTCTGTGCAACCGAGATGGAGAAGCTGTGTCTAGTTTACGTAAAACTTTCCCTCAATCATTTGCCAACATTAGAACTGGGAGATTTCACAGATTTTAGGCTTCTCCAGAAAAAGCAAGATGTGCCATCCCTGAGACAGGGCCTGGGCGCCGCATGCACCAGCCCCACGACCTGCTGTTTTAAGCTGGGGCCAGGCCCTCGTTCCCTTGCGGGGCAGGGATGAGGGACAGGCTGTGAGCCTGGCCCTCAGCGCTGTGGAGGAGGGCGGGCAGGCAGGGCACCAGAAGCCAACAGCACACAAGCCCCTCGTTCTGATAGATCAAAGTGCACTCAGATCCACAGCCCACCTCTGGGGACAGCATGCTATTAAGCGTACGTGCCTAGGTTCTCAGGGGTGTTTGGGACAGGGAGGGCTTCGTGGAGCTCTCGGCAATGTCTCCAAAGCCTCAGAGCAACAGCAGCCAGAGTGCACATAAAAGTGCAAGGTCACCTACATGACCTGCCAAAAAGAACTCCTCACAGGAGCGTTGGGTCTTAGGGGCTCCTCCCTCGTTCCTGGGCCTGGGTTTTTTCTTTCCAGAACTTCATCAGCACCCTGATCCCACATGACCCCTGCCCATCTCCTCTCCAGTCCGTCCGTCCTCAGCTGTGACGTGAAGGCGATATTCGGCCAATCAGCCTACAGGCAACAGAATGGTCAGGCAGGGGTTAAAAACTAACAGGCTGCCTTGGATTGGTTCCTTAGAAGTGACACCTAGCAGATAAAATGGGCTTTATGAAAATGAAAACCTCTATGCTTCAAAAGGCACCATTAGGGAAGTGAAAGACAGCAGGACAAGAGAAACTATTTGTAAGTCATGTATATGGAAGAGACCTGTGTCTAGAACACATTAAAAAACTCTTACAAGTCAATAATAAAAGGACGCGTCAAAAAAAAAAAAAAAAAAGGGCAGCCCTGGCTGGTGTAGCTCAGTGGATTGAGTGCTGGCCTGCGAACCAAAGGGTTGCAGGTTCGATTCCCAGTGTAGGGCACATGTCTGGGTCACAGGCCAGATCCTCAGTAAGGAGCACACGAGAGGCAACCACACATTGACGGTTCTCTCCCCCTCTTTCTCCCTCCCTTCCCCTCTCTAAAAATAAATAAATAAAATCTTTTTAAAAAAAAATGTGCAGTCTCTGAAAAGACATTCCTCCAAAGAAGAGTTACAACTGGCCAAATGCACATGAAAAGATACTCAGCATCACTGGTCTTTAGTAAAATGCAAATCAAAACCACGAGACAGTGCCTCACAGCACCAGGATGGCTGGAATCAAAAGGATGGACAGTAGCAAGCACTGGAGAGAGGCTGTGGGGAGCCGGAACCCTCACATAGGGCTGGTGAGAATGTAAAATGAGGCAGCCACTTGGGAAACAAGGAGTCCGGCAGTTCCTCAAAGACTCAGACACAAGAGCTATATGGTTTAACTCCCCAGTATCTACTTAACAGAATTGAAAACTTATGTCCATACAAAAACCTGTTCACAAATGCTCAGAGCAGCATTGGGCACAACAGCCAAAAGTGGAAACAACTCAAATGTCCATCAGCTGGGAAATGCCTAAACAAAGCGAGGTCTATCCATTCAATGGAATATTATTCCTCCATAAAAAGGAACAAAGTATTGAGCTGTTACAACATGAATGACTTGACACCATGCTAAGTGACAGAAGTCAGTCACAAAAGACCATGTATTGCATGGTTCCATTAATATGAAATGTTCAGAATAAGCAAACCCATGCAGGTAGCAAAGCAGAGGTTGCCAAGGGCTGCAGGGGAGGGAACAGAGGCTGACTTGCTAACAGGTACAGGCTTTCTTCTGGGGGTGAGGAAAATGTTCCGGAATTACGGGAGTGATGGTTGTGAATGTATTAAAAACCACTGAATCGTACAGTTTAAAATGGACATTTTTACAGTATGTGAATTACTTCTCAACCAAAATTAACAGGCTGATACAGAACCCATTCCAGGATGTCATCAAGGAGAAATGGGACAGTGGAAAAAGAGCCCATGACACAGTTCTTTTTAGCTTCATACAGGTAATGCATATTTATTGAAAATTTTCTTCACCGACAATGGTGAAATCAAGACCCCATTATTATAAAACATGATGGCAGTTGAGACTTATAAAAATAAAGCGAAGGTCTATGCTTCACAGATCTGTGCAATTTGCCTTCAAATCTCAGTTTGTCCTTTCATTAAAAAGGAGATCACGGAATCTGTGTTATTCCTCATGATGGAATAGTAAAAAACTGCATTCCATTGACAAAAAAAATAGCTTTGCTTCAAATAGCACAAGTCTTTAAAGTGACTTTTCCCCAACAATAAATATAGAAAATAGCCTTAATGAGCATATCTTTGCTTGGTCAGTTGGGCTGTTAAAAAGTACATCCTCCCTCTTGGGTCAGGGACCCCAGACAGCCTTTTACTGTTTTCCGAGTCTTTGGTGCATGCAGCGGCTGGGTGCGGTCCCACCTGAGGCTGATCTGTGGAGCCCCTCCTGCAGGACCCGGGCTACAGGACACTTCAAGATGTACGCGGGCCTCTATGCATCACAGGGGGAGGTCCATTTAGAACGGACTCCCAGAGCCCCGCCACTGAAGACTCAGGCCCTTGAAGCGGGCGGCCCCTCTGGAAACATCGCGGCTCTGCCTGCCCAGCAAGGCTGTCAGGATGAGGCTCCCTCTGGCTCTCACGGTCAGTGGTCTGATGTCACACAGAAGGGGTCTTTGGTGGGTGAACTTGCTGCATGAGCTGTGGGCGCTTCACCCTGGGTTTCCTCCGCTTCGGCCTGCTTTTGGCCTTGTTGATTTGTACCACAAAGAAGGCCAGGACCACCATGGCTCCCAGGAAGGCAAAGACGGGAATGGTCTGGCCCACCTCCTGGTTGTAGCGGCCAGGCATGATCCCTGCAAGACGACAGCGGTGAATGATCAGTAATACCACACCTTCTCCCATGACGGGCAGGCTCATGAGAAACGAAATGCTAACTAATCTCATTAGCTGGGTTTGCAGGGCAAACATAATTTGTAAACCTTAGCTAAATAACCCAGGCCATTAGTAGAGAACAAACGAAGAGTGACCGCAGCCTTGTTGTCAGATTGACAGCTGCTGCGTGCACGTGCCTGCATGTGTGTGTACGTGCCTGCATGTGTGTGTCTGGGGAGGAGGTGCAGTGAGGGCTTTGCTCCTCCTCCCCAAGCTCACCTCAGACAAAGACCAGGACTGGCCTCTCTTCTGTCACCGAAAATCTACAACGGAGCTGCCCCGAGCTGCTTTTTGTTAAAAACAATGAAAGATGGACACATTTGGATGCTGGGAAGGAAGGAGGAGGCAGGCAGGAAGTTAAGGATGGCTGGCTGCGGCCCCACCGCCCTGGGAAAGCCTTCCACAGACAGGACTCTGCAAGTGGCCACTGGAGAGCCCTGGCTTCACAGTCAGAACCACTCTGTGACTGAGCAATGCTGGGGTTCCGTAACTGCGGTCCTCAGCGTGGGCAAGGGCACCCCTTCCTAATCTCCAGTTTCCCGGCCAATTCCTGGAACCAGAAGAAACGACCCTTGGGAGCTGTCTGCCCTTGGAAGAGCACAGAGGTTTCCAGGGCGAGAGCGACCCTCACACTGTTGAAATGACTCGGAACCAACTGTCCCGGGTAAGGGAGAACCTGTCCCAGACAGGCCAGTCAGGCCAAAAGTCCCTGTCTGTAGAGGGCACATTTGATGTCACTTAGAGTGAGGGAATAGAATCAGGTCAGATCACCTGAATTTAGCTGAGAATCCCACCCAGGCAGGGTAGGGCAGAGCATCAGTGGAGACCTCTAGGCCAAGGATGGCAACAGCCACCAGTTGGGACCCAAATCAGCTGATTACAGGCACTCCCTAGGGTACATAATACATGCTCATTTGCAGAACTTAAATAAAAATGTACAAGTTACTCTGTTGGAAAAAATTTAAGTGTAATATTGGGCCATCATAAAAGAAACTCAAATCTGAAAATCACAGTAGAACTTCCTCAGAGAGATGACGCTGAATTACTCTCTTAGGCCTGCTTAAGGCCTTGCTGATTCATCCCTCGAGGAAGGCAAAGGCATCCGTCCGGCCCACCGCCTGTGGCGGGAGGGGGGGACTCTGAACAAATCAGCGAGTGAGTCAGCACCGTCCTAAAGCGCTAAGAACTGACCTCCAGGGATGTCCCAGGCACCACTTTCTCCCGGAGACAAAGGTCTCACTTGAGGGCGATTCGATCGAAAGTTGGGTAACACCACTTTGTCCAGGTCGATGGAGAGTAACTTCTGATGTTTCCAAAGATTACTTCAGGAAAATGGATTAAAACAAAATACAAATAAGCAACAGTACTAGCCTAGGAAGCTTACTTAGCCAATAGCGAAGAAACAGAAAGTGATTTAAAGACAAATGTGAAATCATGTCCCGTTTACATCTACCTAAGTGCAACTGTGTAACAGCTGTAGTGACAACTTCCAGGTCCAGAGATAGAAATGCCAAAATTGAGTCCATACCCATGAGATTTTAATATGTGAGCAGAGGTCAGTTCTACTGGGTTTGTAACGCTGCCACCTGGGAAATTCACTAAACACAGGGAACAACACGTTAACTTCCAAACGGAGCTCAAGCCAGGCCTCGTGGGGCCAAAGGCCCACGGAGGACTCTGCCCGGAGACACTGGAGCCAGGAGCGGCTTTCTGATGAATGCAAACCAGTGCAGCAAAGGTGGCTCCACAGGGCCACAGCCAGAGGCTGCCTCTGCCCTCAAGGGCGCCACCGTCAGAAGGGAGAGTAAGGAGGACACACAGGAATCCGGGAGCTGAGAGGCAAGTGGGGAGGAGGGGCTGCCTTGCCGCTGGGCCGGGACGATGAGGAAAGCAAGCACGTGCTTTGGGAAATGTGCTGGACTTGTTACAGCAGCACTACTGTTATTCATTCTGAGATCAGAAGAACTTGTTCAGGCCAATACAACTTAGACTTGAAGGAGAGAGATGCTGATACACTGCAAACAGCAATAGAGAGCTCAGGAGGATGCCAAGACACAAGAGCAAAGAACCCAAATGGAAAAACGTGAAGACAGTTCTGGCCAAAGTGCAGAAACAACATAAATGTTTGCAAATTATGAATTCTCCATTTTTCTGCTTGTTATGTTCATTTGAAAATGGCTGGCCTGTCCCTTACTTTGGCCAAGTGAAAGCAAAGATGTTCAGTTCTGTTAGCAATCAGGGTGAAGGTCAGCAGGATGCTGGGCGACGCTAGGTCTGTGGAGAGGGTTTCTGTGTAGGGAAGAGATCAGCTACTATCGTGGGCTTCCCCCTGGGCAACTGCCTGGAAAATGCCAATGAGTATTGCAACCTGTTCTACTCTATACAATTTCTATTTCAGGTTTAATCAGTCTGAAAATTAAACTCACAATATTAAATTATAGAACCAATGACATTTTAGCTTTATGACTCTGTAGCTGAATATACATGGGGCCCTATTTTAATTCTACTAGGTGATACCTGTTCTGGAATTGACTTACCTGGGGATGGCATTTTCTAGTTAGGCACCTGTGGTAACAGCACACCACGCGATCATTAGAGGATGTCTCAAGGTGCTGATGGAAGGAGAGGGGGGAGCCTCGCCCGGTGGGGTGACACTCCTGCAGCTGCGCTAAGGACCCTGATGCTCAACAAGGACACCAGGGAAACGAGCCTGTGTTCAGCGACCGACCAGAGATTGGCACTCGGCGCTGATGGACACCCCAGCCCTTCAAGGGCCGCCGGTGGCTGTCTGACACTGTCCCAGAGCTCTTCAGAGATTCAGAATGTAGACCTAGGTCTAGGTCTCTGGGGACTGAGAATAACACTTGACAAGGTGTAAAACATGAGATAAAGGTGAAGCCTGGTGGTGTATAAGGAAGGAATTCCTGAGCGCGACAGTGAAAATCAAATTCTAGGAGCTGCAATTTATCAGCATGTCGGCATTTGATGGATTATCTGATGTGGACGGGTGGAGACCAAGGATGCTGTTATCAAGTCCTCAGCATCCTGAAAGCACCATGGAAAGTAACTGGGTTTCGGAAACTTTAGCCAACAACAACTACCCAAAGAGAATGAACTGCTGATCATGGCTGGAATTAAAGTCTGGTTTGAATGCTAGGATAATGGTGGGTTATAAATAGACGACATGTAAAAATGGAATCTTATCAGAAATTTTTAAATGATAGGATGTTAACTGGAATGGAAAAGTACTCAGTAATCAAAGTTTCAAGGAAACTGCTGATGAGAAGACAATGTGATGATGCTACAATTCCCCTGTTTTCTATTAAAGCATTTTCTAAACAAGGACATATGGTCCGTGAGCGGCGCACTCAGTGCTTCTGTTCATGACAACGGCAGAGTAGAGGCGGCGCTGGGGTCCCCGCACAGGCATCCTCCCCTTGGTAGCTCGCAGCAAAGACGATGGTCCTCTGTCCCCCACCACATGCCCACTAGCCACACCAACACCAGTATACACGGGGACCCAAGCAAAGGGGGCAGTCCAGTGGGGGAGGAGAGAGGAGCCCCCCGGGGAAGAGCCTGCTGCCTGCAGGCCGTTGGGGAGCGCCAGCTGCCAGTGCGCACGCTGTGCCGCCTGTGCGGGGAAGACGGATTCTCGCAGCGCCCCTCAAAGGAAGGGGAGTGGGAGGCCTACCCCACCGCTGTGCCTGGGACATGGGCCCCACTGCTCCGGGCCAGGACTCCCAGTCAGGAAAAGCACCCATTCTCCTTGACAAAGCGGAATACTTTCCATCGATAAACTGTGGTTTTCGAAAAGAAATGAAGCAAACTAGAAGATCAAGTTCCACAGTGAGATAGAGAAGCCATAGGTCAACAACGTCTGGGCACCACATAGGGAAGTGCCCTGACCACAACCCTGTCGTGGGAGGAAGCTGCTTTCCCAGGCACGGCACCCAGCGCGGGGCAGGGGGCACAGGCACACGTTCGGGCCAGTCTGGACCAGCTCTACCGCGAGCAGTCCCAGCCCCTTGGGCATGACGGAAGAAAGGACCCGTCCGTATTTCAGGATCAGCATGGCAAACAGGGGGCACTCAAACCCTGAACCCCACTCCCAAGGAGTCAGAGCTTCTGTTCAAGTGACATCACTACCAGATCACAGCTTTTTAAGCAAGAACAGACTGAAACCTAAAAATGCTTATTATCCAAAGCACATCTTTATGCAGAATACCACCAGACAGCATGATTCTAAAGGTCAATATGGGGGCTCACTAATTTAAATCACCACCACAAAGTGACAAGCTAGAAGACTCAATTATTTAATAATAATGCCAGTAAAATTCCATTCTCTTATTTAAAAAAAAAGTAATGAATCATAAATCCTGCAGAAGGAGTGCAAAAGCACAGAAAGGCACTAACCTGGGAGCCGTCTCATTTAAAGGCTGTGGCTTGGCCCACGACAAGTGCGGACAGGCCGGCAGAGCCCGAGGCTCCGGGCCTCCCAAACGGGCCTCCAGGACCTTGGAATAGCGGTGCAGGTGGTTCCCTGGGCGGAGGCAGCGCCGACAGCAGGCAGAGGTCAGTGTTGGGGAGATGCAAGGGGAAAATAAAGCGCCATGAGTTCATCTGCCCGCTTTCCCGCCAACAGGCCCACGGCACGCGCTGTCGGCCCGTCCTCCGGATGCTTGGGAGCGAGGCCTGGCTGGTGAGCCGTGACGTGTGCTCACTGCTGCAAGGGAGTGGGCAGCACAGCACCGCTTCTGAAGCGGCCATGCGGCACACAGGGCAGCAGCGGGGCCACCCCGACGGACTGCCATGACACGCACTGGGCTACCCTTGAGGACTCTAACCTACTGAGATGCTTCACAGAAAAAATCTTTCTCTTTTGAAGTATTTAATTCTCAGGTCAAAAAACAAAACAAAACAAAAAACCCCCCTGCATTTTCAAACTTCAAAAGTTGTTTTCTTAGATCTAGGCTGTCCAATACTATAGCCACCAGCCCATATATGGCTACTAAGCAGCAGAAACAGGGTGTCGCATGTCTAAGTAATAATATCATCGTATACTAGGCTAAAGTATTTTATTAAAGTGAGTTTCACCTGTTTCCTTTTACCTTTTTAATGTAGCCACTGGGAAATTGAGCATTAGGTCTGCGTGTGGCTCACACCACACTCCTTACGCTCCTGAGGACCGTGCTGCGAGGACCACAATGCCGGGACGTGAGAGCACGCAGGCCAGCCGCCCAGCGGGCAAGGCTGCAGGTCCCCACGTCCCCTTCTCTTCAGGCCCCACTGCAGAACCACCCGGTGCGTCGGCCATTTATGATATTTTGCCATGTATAATGAACACTTTTTTGTCCCAATTTTTGAGGGAGAAAAATGATGCACATTATACATGGGTAAAATGATTACATACCATGGGCATAATAATCCTGTGTATAATGTGCACAAAAACATGGGTGTGCATTATACACGGAAAAATACGGTACTTAACTTCCCTCAGCTCCTGTTTCCTCACTGGTGAACTGGAAAGAATACTCTGTTTCCACAGAGTTCTGGGAGGACCTAGTGAGAGACTCTGTGTAAAACAGCCCTGGCCCGCTGCCTAGTACCTAGTGAGAGCTCAAAAATGTTGGCTGTTCCTCCCAAAGACCCCCAGGAGCCAGGGCCTTCATCTGTGAGCGGGACAAGAATCAGCAACTCCGAGTGGTATGAGGACACTGGAGTGAGCATGGGGAAGCACGTGGCACTCAGGCCCTTGGTACACGCCCACTGCTCTCGGGAGAGCGGCCTGTCTGCACTTAGAGCCGCAGGCCCTGCTCGGCCTGCAGTCCTTCAGGAAAACCTCCCGTGGCTCCACAGGCCGGCTCCGTTTTCCGGCAGGCACGCTGTTTCCCGAGCCAGGCTTCCCCCAGGGCCCCCGCCGAGCGCCTGTGGGCCCACCCACCTTCCATCCTCTCTGGAGTGGCCAAGCCTGCCCCGCTGGGAGGGCGCTGCCGGTGCCCGGAATGACTGAGGCTGGGAGGGGTCACCCCGTATGATGTGTACTGAAGGAGCGCATCCAGGAGCCAAAAGCAGTCTGCGGGTTCAACAAGCATGTTGCTTAAGAATTGAATCTTTTACAGGAACTTCTACAGGAAAACAAAAGTTAGCTCCCAAAGTCGGGGGTGGGGAGGCGGGGGTGGTGGGAGGTGAGAAGATTAGATTTAAAAAACCCCTATTCTTGAGAAACGGGCATTATCCACAGTCAGCGCCAGCTACAGAGAACAGCAAGAAACATGACCAGGCTGTAGGCTTCACCCCCAGAACCAGGGCTCAGCCAGGGCGGTGACGCTGGGCACCGGCTGGACAAGCTGCTGTAGCACCGCGGGGCTCGGGGCCCCTCACGATGAGGACGGGGTCCAGCCTGCTCAGAGATGGCGAGACCGCGTAACTCCCACGGAGGGAAGAGTCGGGGCTCCAGGCAAGGGGGGAGGAGAAAGGGGTGCCAGCGCTTCTGTCAATGCCCACGGATGTCCTGGGGGAAGGATCCTGATTTATAGAGTGAGGGCAGAGCCAGGACCACAGTGTGCGCTCCACAGAGGGCGGGTTCAAAGTCCGCACAAGTGCAGTCTAGAGCTTGGGCTGCCCTCTGAGTTGGTGGGCCCCAACCACCGAGTCTGAAAGCAGAAAGCGCTCTACAACTCTGGGAGACACCGCATGGGGGTCTAGGTGCGAGGCTGTGATCACAGCTCCTGTCACCAAGCCACAAGGTGGACCCCTTCTATCAAGAGACAGCTGCTGCCCCGTCCTTAATCCCGGGGTCACTACTTCCACACCGTTTCTCCCCGTCACGGCTACTCCCGGTCCCCTCAACACCAGCCTGGACCGGACGAGACTCCCGAGGGAGGACACCGCCCGAGGAGACACCTGTCGCACTGAAGAGCACTTCTGGTGGAGAGCACAGGGCCCCAAAGGTCTTCTACGCTGTCGTCCAACGTCCGACGTGTAAGGACCACAAAAGTCCTCTCGGGCATTTTAAATTTTAATAGAAAGTCTTACCAGAAGATCTCAGGTCTTAAAAAAAAAACACCTCTGAAAATAAAACATTAACCTTCTTTCAACTGTGACTTTAACCTTCACTTCTGATTTTTAAAAAGATCAATCCGATGCTAAGGATGCACATAAAACACTGGGAATTTAGTCAACTTCAAGTCAGAGGAGAAGTGCACCACACAACGGCCAATCCGTGCTCTCGTGGCCTCGCTCCTTCCAGCTCGGCCTGTCCGCCGCTCGCCAGTGTGAGGGTGTAACTCCGTACCCTCCCCCGGCCCAGTTCTGCAGGGAGTTAAAGGACTGGGTTTTAGTCCTGGTTTTGTCATCATCTGACCAGGCAAAAAGATGAACGCTTTCACCATTCCATTTCCTCCTCAAGAAGAGAAACATAAACTGTGCCCAAATTTGGAGGCTGCATCAAGAGATGCTGAAAAAGGAGGGGTGCTAAGGATGAGTTGCCCTCACTGGTGAAGGCTCCTAACAGCCAAGACGCCCTCTTCCGGAGAGCCGAGTGCTGGCCCTCCAGGGAACAGTGGGTCCAACCCAAGAGGGGCACCCGCATGGCAGTGCCAGTGACGGACAGACCCAGAGGGGCAGCGGGCCGGGCAGGTCGGGGAAAGCAGCCATGGGTCTCTCCCCTGAAACACAGTGGTCCTGTCCCCAGGACAATGGACATGGCGGGGAAGGCAGTGGAGGCGGTCACAGGTTTCACTTTGCTCATTAACTGCATCCAGACTTACACAGCTATCAAAACATTCCAAGCAATTAAAGCAGCAGGGACTGCCCCAGCCACACCTGGCTCTCATGAGCAGGTTTCTGTTAATCGATCAGCAACTCATGGGCACCTTTTCAGGGACAAGGGGGAGAAAGGATTCGATGTCAAAGTCACAAAGCACAATCTACTTTTCAGCCGCCTCAGCAGTTCTCACTCACCCTTCTGTCGGTGACTGTCATCCAAGCAATTCGAGTCTCCGTACAACACAATGCGGCCTCCGCCCTCAGCTGGAATCTGATAAAGTCCCAAAATGGGGACATTCTCAACAACTGCTGTTTCTTGCTTTAAAACCTCCAATCCTGAAACAACATAACAAAAACAGTGAAAATTTCTGTCGAGGAATGAATTATCTCCCACAGTTGCCACTTAACGTGACAAGTGACAAAGAAATCATAGCAAAATCCACACTCCAATCATAGCAGTGCAAACTTTTAATAGAAAAAACAATGTCTTATGTGCTATTAATTTGGGTTTTAGCAAAATTCACTTATATGTGTGTATACATGTATTTCCACATCCAACCTCTTTCATTTTCACTTAAAATTGTGGTAACGGTATTTACAATTTTAAAGGTTTTGCTTTTCCCCTTTTATATTAAAAACACAAACTTTCATCCCTCTTATGCCAAAAGGCTTATGTCCTTGGACGTCATCCACTAGGGTCAGCTGGCCAGGCAGCTCTTGCTAAACACACAGGTACATCTATAGAGAGTCACACATACTCATATCCAGCTTCGTGTCTTATTATTCAAAGCTAGGACAAACAACTAATTTTTTAAAATATATGCCCACATATTTTAAATTTAGATTTAAGATATGTGTCATATTAATCTCACAACTACAAATGTTCTGAAGCAGAGCCTTCTTATCTGCACCCAAACAGATGGCACAACTTCCAATGTTTAGTGAATCAAGATGTCGAAAATGCATACATGCCGAAGGCAGCACCTGCCAGCGACATCGTCATAGAACCTGAGAGTCTCTGCCCCTGAGGCAAACACATTCCTGGCACTAGGCAACGCACATCTTCGTCAGAGCCCAGTACTTAGCATGTGGATAACATCTAAAATGTCTGTGGCCATTAAGATGCAGCACGTCCTGCTCTCTGTGTTTAATTCCATTTGGAACTGAGTGGAAGAAAACGCAAGATGTTCCTGGTGGCGGCGGGGGGGGGGGGGGGCTGCGCAGTGGAACAGATGACACGGGGAGGCACACACAGCTTCGTGGTTTCACGCAGTTTTGTTGCTGACAGTAAGATCTTCTGTGATCCAGCATAACCCAGATTTTCAAATTCCTCCTGTGCCCAAAATATTATTCAACTTAAAGCCTATGTGCAGATAAAAATCCCCTTAAAAAGGATTTCAAGGTAATTTTTATTTTCAAGCTAGCAGAACCCCAAAATAAAGTATGTACCCCTAAGTCCGCTTTTGATTCCTCTCCCAATGAAACAAGGCACTACCAACTGGCTGCAAGACCCCTGCCGTCACCCCTGTTTAGCCCCTACCAGAAATGACACTGCCCTGAGAGAAACTGATTTCCGAAAGAATCACTAACCTTCAGTAAACTGTGCCATGACTGGGAAAACATGATTATGTATGTGCTTAAAGTGAAAATACCCCTTCCACATAATACACAAATACATTCTACCTCGCAGCTGCAAATAGATGAGGAACGCTTCCTGCCTACTTGCCATTTTCAACTAATGAAATTGTCCCTAATTTCCAATGACAGAAAACGGCACACTTTACAATGGAGGGGCCCTCCACTGTGAAATTTTTAAAAAACGCCAACGTGCACAAGGAAATGAATACTGCTTGTAAATTCCCATAAGCCTGCCCTGCAGGGCAGGGAGCAGCCTCCCAACTCCTGGCAAGGGTGGGAGAGGCAACTCCCCGCTCTCCAGTGCGGGGCTGCAGGACGGCTGCCCAACATCGCGGCAGGTGGGTGGCTCCCCGCCCCCGGGGCGTGGGGGCTGCTCTGGCTCTGCCCTGCTCCCCAGGTTTGCTCAGGGCACTCGGCAGTGTCCCAGACTCTAATGGGAGGGGAACTGAAGCATTTGCTTTCTTGGGTGATGCCTGGCTACCGTTAAAGAAACACAACTGAAAAGGAAGACCTTTCTTTCCTTCAAATTCTTCAGGGAATTTTAAGAGAGGACCCTGTAATTGATATTCTTTACCTTTTCTACCGTTAAGAACATCGACACATGGTCAACGTTCTTCTAAATTTTAGAAATCTGGCAATCATGGAAGAAGAATTTACAAATAGTAGCAAAAATTTTAAGCAGCTTTAAAGGTAGTTTTAAAAAATATCTACATATATTCAACAGCCCCTCTCCTGTAGGAAATTTGATTTACTTTGCCATGGTCAATATACACATATATTCAAATTATCAGCAAGAGGCTGTCTAAATCTATCTTTGCATCTCTCAGAGCTACTACCCAGAAGTCTTGACTAAAGTAGGTACCATACAAATGGTATTGCAATAAATTATAAAAACAAAACAACAATGTTAATGGGTATGGGGATTCTTTTTTGAGGTGATGAAAATGTTCTGGAAGTAGATAGTGGTGATGAATGCACAAATGTGTGAATACAATAAAAATCACTGAATTGTACACTTCAAAAGGGTGAATCATATGCAATAAAACTGTTATTAGAAAGAAGAAAACCAAAGAGCACATGAATAGCATTCCTTACCTTGGTCTTTAAAAGTCTGTGTTATCACTATGCCATCTTCTGGAAATTTAGCAATGCTGCACCCTGACGCATAATACACTAGAAAACAGTTATGAGACCACAGAAACAGAACATTTTATCAACAGCTACTCATTTAATTAAAATGCATTCTTTAAACATTACATTTTCTAAAACTGTTTTCAATCTTAGGAGAGGAGCTCCTGTTATTGCCTGGTCACACTTAAACTACAAGGAATGACCTCAAAATTGAAGTTAAAAAATACCACTAATATAAAGTTTCTGGACAGGTTTCAGAAGTCAGAGCAGCCACAGACTTTAGACAGCTAAGGCAGGACGAGCAGAATCAGTAACAACAGCGCTCAAGACATTGTTCTGGAGACTAGCTCCCACAACTAATTTGGGAAAATTTCTTAAATGAGATTTGCAAAGTTACTGCATGAGCAGAATTACATAAATAATCAGGACCTATGAGGTATTCCCTGTTTGGGAAAATACAGGATACAGAACACCATATAGGTGGCACTAAAACTAGGTACAGTTGCATAAAATATTTTCATGTAAAAAATCTGGATAAGAGTGTTTAACACCCAGCTTTCCAGATGTTCCCTATGCAGGTACTGAGCCACTCTCTCCGCACAGCGTAGCTGCTTCAGGAAGCACACCACTCCTTCTCTCTCTCTGAAATGCAGACTCTCCTGGAATAATGTGCCCTATTAAAACACAAGCACAAAACCTTACTGTCATGGCTTGCCAAGGTAAAATCCCCTTCGTATAGGCCATCGCTGAACGCCATGTTCCAGACAGAGAGAAGTTCATTCAGAGCTGGGATGTTGGCCCCCCCGGTGTCTGGCATCCACCACTGCCTGTTGGAGGTGACAAGGAGGCACAAAGAAGGAAAGAACTGAAACATTCCACGCACACTTGCTCTCTTCATGACGAAGCTACCCCTCCTCTGCCAGAATCCAGTCCAGCCACACTAAGGTTTCAGATGAAACTAAATGCCTGGATTTGAGCAATACTATGACATTAATGCTTCAGCCAGTACGTAGAGTAAACCAAAGTAAATTTATTTCATAAAACGCACCCTACATGACATGAATACACTGCACATTAATCCTAGGTCTAGAGAGGGTCAGTGAAGAAAAGGAGGTAAGGAAGAAGCTTATAAAGTCTATCACAGACTCTAAAGAAAAAATGTAAACTCTATTACAAAGATATTTACAATGCATTGGAAGTCCTTGATTGATAACTAATTTACTAGATTTCTTTAAATAACAGGTCCTTTGGTGCTTTTAAATGTGTATAGATTCAGTAATAGAGCAATAGAAGAATGGGGAAGGACTAAACAGAAATTTAAAGCTCAAGTATCTACAATCAGGAAGGAAAGACAATGAAGCCTTTAATTTAATACCTGGAATCAATGAGCATTTTACTGACTTTACAAGTGGCTTTCAAGGACATCTCTACTTCATGAAGAGAAAGCTTTCTCTGCCCAAGCATCAGAACCTGCCTGACAGCTGAAAAGACCTCCAACGGGTCAGACAGGCACTGTAAGTATTTGCTAGGGAGAACTTAACCTCCCAAAAGTCAGATTTCTTATTCAAACACCAACTCATATCAGTACCTCGTGTTTTCATCGTAAAATTTGACTTTTCTCATAACAGACGTGTTGTACCAATCACTGAAGACGATGAGTGAAAGGCCATTGTCCACATCCCGCCGCAGTTTGGCGACCTCCTCGGGGAAGTACTCCTCCTCACTGTCCACCATGAGCAAAGTTCCTGAGGGACAAAGGACCAAACTCTGAGAAATTGCACCTCTGGACGACAGGATGTCTCTGTTTCAGAAACACAGTATTTTACTGGCATCCACACCTCAAGTTGCTGGCTTCTAACATTTTGGACTGTGGCCCTGACCCTCTCTAGAAGAGGGTAAGGAAGAAAGGGTCGGGGCCCTGCGGTCCACAGACGCCAGCTGGCTGTGGCCTTCTGTTTCATCTGTGAAGCCCCACACAGATATATTTCACTTACTGGAGAAGCACAACATGGAGCCAGGGCTTCTTTTCACTAAAATAAATAGATTTTTAAACTGTGCAAATGTCTCTGTCCCCAGACATTCTGACAGTGCCGTGTTTCAGCTGAACGTTACCACCATCACCACCAAGCAGGAACACGCGCCAGTCCACCTGGCGCCTTATTCTGGCCTCCACTGGACCCAGGAAACCCCACAAGTGCCCTTTGCTGGCTCTCATTTAAACTGTGATTCACCTTCCAAACTTTTCACAACTCCCAACAGAGAGGAGAGAACACCTGGCTAGCACCTCGCTGCTGCTCACCATACTGATTAGCATCAAAGCATGTGAAGGGGGAGCCGAGGACTTCGACAAAGTAGCCCATGCTTCTCAAGTGTTGGTACATGTCCCTGAAGTTCGTGTGGATGTGGTCACCGTTCCTGGAAAACAGCAAGACCCGGGATTAAGATGATCCATCTCCACCCGTAACAAAGGCGATCTAGCCATCGAGGTACGTCCTGAAGCCCGGCTGTGTCTGCGGGAGCAGAGCCCCATCCCCAGCAGAGGCCGGGGGGGTCCGGCCACTGGCGCAGCTGCCCTCAGTCACACTCTCAGGCCAGCGGGGCTGGCGTATGAAATGAGTAATAGGAAATCATGCTCATGGAACAGGCAAAAAGGGATAAAATGAGAAGGAGAAATGGCCAAAGACATGCACTGAGGCATCACTTTAGCGGCGGCATACATGTAAATGGTTGGCAACCACCAGCATTTAGCAAATTCAGTGTGGGAATGCAGACCTGCTGGACCCAGCCACACGGGGCAAGTGAACTCAGACGATGACAAATAGTTAACCTTATTTCACCGCTACTAATCACCCTTCCATCCCTTCTCCTCCTCAATGCGCTCGAGTTCCTGCGGGGCACCGTATGTCAGCCGCCTACCCGAAAGCCCGAGGAACCCCCGGGGTCCTTCTATCTGCGGCCCCCGCTCACAGCCCGTCTCAGTCTGCCTCCTCAGAGGGCTGAACCCATGCGCTCCCCTCCGGACCCACGGCCATTACCCTGTCCGGCAACTTCTCCCCACTTCTTGTCTACCTGCCTCTGGTCTGACCCCTCCAAACTGTCTTCCAGGGACACCTCTGTAAAGAGCAGAACTGACCTCGTAAGTGTCCTGCTCACATCTTTCAACCATTGTTGCTCACCATTTTCAGGGTCAAGTCCAAACACCTTTACTTACACTAGGGCAGAAATGAATTCAGCATATGGGCAGAGATCAGCCTGCTTGCCCTGGAAGGGCAGCGAGGGGACAGGGCCTGGGGGCTTGAGGAGGACCGCCAGGAAGTCTGGCGCATGAAGTCTGGAGAGGCAGCCACTGGAGTTTAAGGCAAATTGTGATGGAATCTGTTTTTAGGTGACCAGAGACGCTGCATGGAATGGGATTTAAGGGAGTGAGAGTGGCAGCAGCCACTGGTCAGGAGGCGACTAATGCCATCTGGGCAAGAGATGATGGCCTGAACGAGTGGGAGGAGAGGTGGTGGCCAGAAAGGGCAGGAACTGGGACATGCTCTGGAGGGGGGACTAACAGGATTTGTTGTATGATTCAACGGGAGAAGTCAGGGACAGAGGACAATTAAGGATGAGTTCAAGGCTTCCCACTGCACGACTGTGCAAGTCTGAAGGGAGAAGCACAGGGGGCCGTTAGAGCATGACAAGGACCTGCAAAGTCTGGGCGTTGCGGAAGTCAGGCTCACTCAGGAGCCGCGTCTGCTCCCCACAGGGACAGAGTCCCCTGGTCCTGCTGTGGAAGGACTGGGAGGGGCGGGTGATGAGCGTCACAGCTGATGGCTGCTTACCAGTCTAAGGGGTCATTCTTCATCCTCAGATTATCCCTGGGGAAGTAGCCGGGTGGATAGCGGAGGTTGTGGTACTGGTCCCAAAGAATTCTCTTGCTTCGAGGAGGAGCAGGAATTATCTTCACCTTTATTGGGAGCTTCACTGTGGAAGTCTGTTCTGCACCATTTTTTGACTGAAAAAAATAAAAGAAACCTGAGTGCCCCTTTTGCTCTGAAGGTTTGGGGGTTTATTTAAAAAGTCAATTCTATTTATCAATTTAACCCTAACAATTTGAACACAAGAATTTCCAATAATGAATGTAGAAAGGAACCGTCATATATCACAATTAATTCCATTCAAAAATTAAGAATTTGGGACTTAAAATTGAAATCACCTTATTCCTGAACACTAGCGCTACATAAAATTAACCCTACACTCCCTTTTAGAGAACATGTATTTTCTGCAACCATTTTGAGCTTGAAATTTGGTACAAAATAATCCTATCTGCTGTTGCTCAGCAACAGAATCAAAGGCACCATCGCTCATTACTGAGCTGGCTTTTAAACTCCAGCTGCTCTACAGGCCCTGGAATCAGCGATCATGGCCTTGAAGCCTAATCACACCAACTGTGCTTCAAACCCAAGACCCTGGGCTTTCAGCCTGTCCCTCCCTTCCTGGCAGGGGATGAGGGAGATTAAGAAAAACAAGCGCCTGTTGGCATGCACTTACCTCCACCTCTGCTGGGGAAGCTACGGTGATCATGACGTGCCCCTGCGCAATGCCTTCCCAGGAAGCCGCTTTCTTGGTGACAGAAATGGAGATGGCCAGGTAGCCTGACCAAGGCCACAACACGGAGGAGTAAGAGAAAGCCACTTCGATGTTGTCTCCATTTTGCGGTAAGTAGGGCTGCCAGTCAGGCTGCAGGAGAAAAACCAGCAAAGGCCAGAGTGAAGTGCTCAACTCCTCAATTACCTATAGAAGTTTCTGAGAAATATTTCATACTCTAAATAAAGCAAAATGAAGTTTATCCACAGACACTAAGCAACCTATAAACAAAGTGGCCTATGGAGTGTCTAACACATCATCCAATAGAAAACTCTAGAATCCACTATTTCTGAGAGCCTCCAATTTTAAAAAGAATCCCCCTCCCACCCTCCACCCCAAAGCTTAAAAAAAAACAAGGGGCACAGATTTTGACATACAACTTCTATCTGACAGAGAACTTAAATAAATGAAAACTCCCAGGTTTGAGGTTAGATCCCAGTTAGCTGTGTGCTTAAAGAATCACATTAATAGAAGGGACTCAAATAATAGAATTACACGGATGCAATCTGTCCCCAAATGCTGAAGCCAGCGATCAGGCGGGGGGAGGTTTATGGGACGCCTGGAGGAAGAGCTGGCGCAGCCCTTTCAGTCTCTCCCAGGTGTGAGGAAAGCAAAAGGGAAGCATGAGAGGAGAGCATCTGGAAGAAACATAAACTAGCTCTTATTCCAATTTTTCAATATTTCCATAACCAGTATTTTAAACCAGCCTAAATTACTAATGTCCCTCACAAACCAGATAGCAACAACATACTACCCAAGTGAGTCAGTGTATTTTAAAAAATTCTGAAGGAGAAAAATATTTGTAGGATACAGTATCATAAATAATGAGAAGGAAAGAGATTTTTAGTAAATGCTCTTGAGATCACTGGTTAGCAACTGAGAAATAAGTTAATTCTCACAGATAAAAAAATACATATTTAATTACATATTTAACAAGCATAAAAAGTCAGTAGAAAATGAAATTGAGATTTTTATTATATCTGTGGAGAAAAAGTTTTCTAATTTTTGAAACAAAAAAAATCACCAAAGATCAAAATTCAGCTACATGAAAATGTGAAACTTTACAGAACTTCTACTGCAAACTGAAGACCACCACTCAAAATTAAACAATAATCTGTGGGGAACTTTTTGCATAAAATACAACAATAGTAAATGCCTCTATGATACGAAGATCTTGCTCAGATGGATAGGGAAAACCTAAATTCCAGTAGGAAAAAAAATGGGCCAAGGCAATAAAAAGCTAATTTACACAAGAGAAAATATAATCAATAAAGAAACCTGGAGATATTTACCTTACGAATAACTGAAAAGCACAATAAACAAGGTACCCATTTTACCCCCTCTAAATTTCAAGTTAAAAGATGAACCGCCTAGAAACAAACCAAATGCCCATTAAACAAAATAAGACCTATCCATATAATGGAGCATTACTCAGCCATCAACAGGAATGAAGCGCTCTGCTACGACACAGACGACCGTTCAAGACATCGCGCTCGGTGAGAGAGGCCAGTCACAAAAGACCGCGTATTGTCAGTTTCCGTTTAGGTAAACCCAGAGAGAGAGAAAGTGCTGGGGCAGGAAGAAGAATGGGGAGTGACTGTAAACAGGTGTTTCTTCTTGGGGTGATGAAAATGTTCTAGGAGTGTGTAATAGTGACAGTTGCATCACTACTGGTGAATGCACTAAAAACCAATGAATTGCACAATATAAAAGGGTAAATTTCATGATATGTAAATTTTATCTAATTTTTTAAAAACCTCATGGAATTAAAAAAAGAAAAATGTTCCACCCAGCGCAGGCCCGGGGGGGACAGTGCCTCTGTGACCACCGGCAGCAGTCGGAGGCGGCGGACCTCTCCTCGGAAAGAATGTGAGGGCAATGCACCAAGAGCCTCAGTAACGTCCATGGCCTCTGGATTCAGGATTCCAACTGGGGCGGTTACGTTATGGAAATGATTCAGAAGAAAAGGAAACCACATATAAAAAGATATTCAGTGAAATGTTAATATTAGAAAACCATGTACTTTTTTGTTCATAAAAGCAGAAAGTATGCAAATTATGGTTTGACAGTTCTATGTAATATTAAATGACCATTAAAAAGTACACTGGTGTCTGTATACACTTTTAAATGTTTCCAACATAATGAAAACTAAAATAAAAAAAAAGACTGAATTTTTGCCTACTGCATAATGTTAACAAAAAATATGTATTTCAGATAAGAACTGGAAAAGAATATTTAAAAAATAGTGGCTATGATCACTATGTTATGCACCAGACACTAATACTAAATAATACTGAATGCAAACAGTAATTGAAAAAAAAAAAAAAAAATGAACCAGCTGATATCCAAAATTAAAAAAATAATGGCTATGTTAGTGTGCTGAGGCTGGAAATAATTTATCTGTTCTCTTTCCCTATCCTTTACTGTTACGATAATGCTTATGTAGTAAGTATAAAAAAAAATATAAAAACAAAATTCAAAGACCATACCTTCTAGACCTTAGGCCCATTACTCATTAAAGAATAAAACAGTTACAAGTGGGCCTTTAATTATAGGTGGGAAATAATAAAGATGAAAGATCAAATGCAATTAGTCGATTCAGAAGCCAAACTCGAGGTGCCACAGTAAAATAATAGCAGACGGGTTTCACTAATTTATCCCTGACTTATGTGTAGAAGACTTAGGGGAAAATAAATCACTGCTTCCAATGCCCTGGCATCCCAGACGGGAGAAGAGAATCTTTCCTGTTTTACTTTCAGGAGAAAATGCTAAGGCACAAAGGTCTGGGCCAGGACTAAGTTCACTGAAAGCCAGAGAGCAGCTTCACCTTGTCTACAATTCGTCCTGTGACGCCCATGCCGTTGAGGATGGTGACATTGACGATGGTCGGCATTCCTCCATAATAGATGGGCTGGGAGCAGTAGGGCCACATGTAGGGACACTCAGTCAGATCTATGTAGCTGGGGCTCAAACTGAAACAAAGAATACAGCGTTAGAGTACAGCGTGCTAGAAAACAACACTGAAGTAGAGTGACTGTGTAGGAAGTCAACACTGGATCTGAGCCTCAGAAGGGCCCCCTTGCAGGGTTCCTCTCAGCAGGCATCTGGGAGCTTGGCTTTGGAATGCCCCCTGCGCTGAGCAGCTTGCCTAGACTGGCTAGTATAAACAATGGGATGGTGTGAAACACCTCCTTCCCTCTGCCAGTCTGGAACTTTGGTGGTTGTAACTGGCAGAGAATGAGGATGTGACCAGTCCCACTGAATGCCTCAGACTCAAAGAGTCTCAAATCACTGCAGCAAAGATGGGCTTTTTAATAAATGCAGCTGTGACAAATGGGTGGTCACTTGGCAAAAGATAAAATTAGATCCATACCTCACACCACACACAAGAATGAACCCCAAATAGATCATGGAGTCTCAAGAAAATAAAAGCCAACAAGTATTAGAAGAAAACCTGGGTGAATTTCCCTTTCAAACCAGTGCAAAAAAAGGCCTTCTGTGACTCAAAATCCAGGAGTAACAGACTAATAAAATAAAGTTGGCTATTTAAAAAAAAACAACAACTGCATGACAAACACTTCATAGAAAATCAAAAGACAACTGACGAACTGGGAAAAACGTCTGCAAATATATATCACCAACAAAGAGTTGCTATCCTTAACGTACAAAAAACCCTTAACAACCGAGGGACCAAAAGCTCCAGAAAAAAATGGGGAAAACAGCCCTAGCTGATGTGGCTCAGTGGATTGAGCACCGACCTGCAAACTGAAAGGTCACTGTCGATTTGATTCCCAGTCAGGGCACATGTCTGGGTTGTGGGCCAGGTCCCCAGGCCCCCAGGTCATGGGGACATGTGAGAGGCAACAGATTAATATATCTCTCACACATTGATGTTTCATTCCCTCTCTTTCTCCCTCTCCTCCCCTCTCTCTAAAAGTAAATAAAATCTTTTTTAAAAATGGGGAAAACAAATAGACACTTAACAAGAGAAGTATAAATGTGGTCATTAGGCATGGACAAAAGTGTTCAAACTCACTCTTAACTAGAGAAATGCAAATTACAACAATACTGAGAGACCATTTCTCACCGATCAGATTGGCAGAAAGTAATCAACATGACAGAGCTTTCTGCTGGTGAGGCTCTGGGAAAACAGGCACTCGGGAATTGCTGTGGAATATAAAACAGACACAACCCGTCGGGGGGTAATAGAGAGAAACCTCATAAAGCTCCCTGACCTAGGAATCCTACTTCTAAGAATTTTCTCTGAAGACACACACCTCAACAAAATTAAAATATTAGATACAAAGTTATTTTAAACAACAGTTTATGACTGTTAAAATATTGGAAACAGTTTAAATGCCCAAATATAAATAAACAGGTGCATAAACTATGGTACAACCACACTATGCAGCTATTTAAAAAAAAAAAGGAAGCTCTCTATGAATTAACATAGAGCAATTTCCAGGATACTGTTAAGTGAAAAGAGTGAAGTGTGAAGAGTGTCTGTAGTAATGCCATCCTTGGTGTATGAAAGGGGATATAAGAAAATACAGGGGGGCAAGGAGCTTTACAGTTCTAAGTACACAAAACAGTTTATTCTTGTATTACTACTAATTATTGTATTATTTTCCATACGAACAACTGTAAACCTACATTTGCCCACCCCGTATACATGTATCTGTTCATTTGTGCAAAAAGAAATACAAGAAAGTTAAACCAGCGACTGAGACTGCGACCGCAGGGGTGGGGGCCGGCACGGAGAGAAGGGGGGAGTGGAAACAGGGACAGAGGGAGGAGGCTGCACCTGCGTGCTGTTCTGACTTTAGAGCCACGGTAATAAAGACTTCCCATACCCAACACATAACTAGTTGAAATCAACCAGCAGGTGAGGGGAATCCAAAAAGAGATACAAACACTAACAGGTGAATTCAACTGGATTAAAACTGACTAACAAAACCACACTGATGGAGTGGAGAACGAAAAGAATTAACCTAACTTTGGAAAACAGTATGACTATATTCTGTAAAGCTAAAGATAAAAAGAACTAAACATAAATACTATACTCGAGTTAGTAAATTTGTTTTTGGGAAGGGCATGAGTTAGCAATTCAAAACCCACTCAATACGCACATCCTAGGACAGAGCAGACAAGCACACTGCGGACGAGAGCCAGGCTCCTTGCTGTTGGGGAAGGGCTACTGATAAGGGGAGGGGAGACTGGACTGACAGCTGTGGTGCTGGGCGGGGTCAGCAGATAGGAAACTCTGGTGTTAGGGGATCTACAGAGAGATATATGGAGAAATAGGTATAGATGTGTGAGTGCACAGACATTCCCTAGCTCTGCCTGCTGAAAAGGCCAAGAAACAAGGACGAGCATAGCTCCAAGGAGCACACCAAGTGCCCAGGTGTTGGTTTCTAAACACCACTCTCCAATTAAAGGACCCAGGCTGCTCAGAGAGAGAACTGAGACCAAGGCAGAGAATAAAAATGTTGTGTTGCCAAAAAGTGAGACAAAGTGCTCAAAAAATGATGGAGACATCTAAAAAGACACAAGAGCCAACTAGAAGGAGCTCACAACAGCCACATTTGGGACCATTTGAGCACCAAAATAAACAATGATGTTATTGGATTATATCCCACAGAGTCAAATATCTATGTTTCCATATTGAATAAATAAGTAAATGGAAGAGAAGAGATACCGCTTCCTTACAGAACTGCAATTAACAAGTGAGAGAAACAGAAAGTCACCATGGGGTAACCTCTACAGTAATAATCATACAGGCAAGAAACATCAATGGATGTTAAAATTAGTGAGAGACAATATGTGGGGAAACAAGATCATCTGAAAGTGCATCCCCACAAGCGATACTCAGTAGTCACGAAGGGACAAACAGTAACTGCAGTGGAGAAACCTGGCAAATGCCACCTGAGTAAGGTAGGCACCAGGGGCGGTGCCGCTCAGATCCCCTGCTGCGGAAGCACAGCCACGGACACCGCGGCTGCTGCCCCTCCGGTCCCTCCACCACCTCTGTGCCAAGGCCCCGCTTCCCCAGGGCTGTGCCAATCCAATGCTGAGCTCACGGGGTACCAGGGAAGGCCCATCCCTGTGGGACACAGGGTCCTCCAACAGGTGACTGTGGTGTAAGGATCCCTCATCAGCAGAAGCACTGTTAGACGTGTCCTGCAGCCTGAGGGGCTCCCTCTGGAGTTCTCCTTCCTTCCACCTCGTTTTACAGGCCTTGGGTCAGCACGGCAGTCCTGAGACTCTTCCCGCCCATTCCTGCCTCCTTCCCTTTTCCTTTCACAGGCCCCTCTCCCCCGGCAGATCTCTTGGGCAGGTAACTCCACCTCAGGGTCTGCTTCCTGGAGGGCCTGGACCAACACATTACCTAGACTGGATGATGCAAATGAACTCTGCCAGTAGTAAGAGGAAGAACTCTAAGGAAGTGTCCTCGATTGGAGGAGACCAAGGAGACCTGACAACTAAACACCATGTGAGATGCTAGACTGGATCCTAGGCCAGGAAAAGGACAGTTGTGGGACAATGGGTGGATACTGAATACAGTCTACAGATTAATCAATGGTAATGTATCCATTAATTTCCAGGCTTTGAGGCTTATACTACAGGGTAGGGCAATAGGTTTACAGTTGTTTGTATGGAAAATGCAATCATTAATAAACAATAATAAAAGGATAAACTCCGTGTTTCAGGTACTCACAACTATAAACTCACTTTTTGCCCACTCCTGTATGGTTATGTAAGATGTTCACATTAGGGAGAGCTGAGTGAAGGATTATGGATCCTCATGTACTATTTTTGGAACTGTTTTAAATCTAAAATCATTTCAAAATAAAAAATAGAATCTCTTCACCAAAAACACATAACCTCAAGCTCATCATAACCGGGCATCAGATAAACCCACGGCCAGGGGCAGTCTATGAAACGAGTAACCTGTGCTCCCAAAGGAGTCAGAGTCATGAATGACGACAAGTCAGATGGACTGGCAAAGGCTTAGGAAGCTGAGAAGACATGGCAACTAAACGCAAGGTGGGGTCTGGGTCCTGGACTGAACAAAGGCCACGAGGGGAACACTGGTGAGCTGTGAACAAAGCCTGCAAGTTCATTACAGTATCAATGTTCATTTGTTAGTTTTAATTGTGAAATTACAGTCATCTAAGATGGGGGCCACTAGAGGAAGCTCAGTAAAGGATCTATGAGAACTCTCTATACTATTTTTGCAAATTTCTGTAAACCTAAGATTATTTCAAATGGAAGTTTTAACAGGGAATTGTTATTTTAATCCATTCATGTGAGAGCAGTTAAAGTTCCACCAGCCGGCACCCGGCAGAGTGAAGCTCTCCGTGAAGGCCCCAAGTGCAGTGCGACTAGTGATTGGTTCCCGTTTGGAAGTTAACATTTTGTGCAGAGGGAAAAGCACCCTCAGAACAGAAGAGAAAGGCCTATTGGAAAGGCAAACACACTGACCTTGCCTGTGGTTTGTAACTGTTGAGGATCTGATAGGCTCTGAGCAGGTCCAGCTTGCCATGGCCTTGCTCAAACATATTGACACCAGGCAGCCTCCGGGCTGACGCAATCAGGGCCTGCTTCATGCTGGCCGGATTCACCAATTCACGTTTCTGGACGGTGCTGGGGAGAAAATCATGTATTTGCTCATTTTCTTGTAAAAGAGTGAAAAGCTGATTATTTCTAACCTGCAAATGTGACCTCTAATCTTGTTTTGTCTGCAATGGAAGCTGCTTTGGTAGCCCCATGCCAAGATAAAAACGAACGTGTTTCATTTCTGCACCAGACTCAGGAGTGACCAGTTATTAGCCTCCCACATGGCTTGTTGAGAACAGGGACTCACAGGCAAGTGCTTGTTTATACTAAATGGATCAGAGAAACTAAATTGACCTTACAGGTTACAGTAGGCAGGAATAGATAAGAGGTACTCGCTCCTCAGGAGGAGCTAGGAGGAAAGAGACAAGCTGGGACATGGCCTATCTGGGAAAAGCAAAGGAAAACAGACGGGCTCTGGAGAGACAGGCTGACGCCCGCCGGGCCAGAGGCACAGCATTGGAGTGGAGTCACCGCCGCACTGCAGAAGCCCGCCTTTTTTGTTTTGGAGGCGCCTGGTGGATGAAGATAGCGGAACTGTGCGGACCTGAGACCCCCTTAAGAGTTTCAGCATCAAGATGCACCCAGACAAACTGGAACACTCAGCTCTGTTTGGCCAAGAACTTAATGACACATCTGCAGGATCAACTTCTTAAGAATGCTAGCAGAAGAACATTCAATTCTGTGTATCTATGTATTACAAATACAAGTAAATTTTAACCTCTAAACGTAGGGAAGAAAATCCAGTAAGCCAAAGAAAAACTTACTCTCCTAAGTCCCTAAATCTTTCTTTATAATGGTGGTTGCTCTTGGAGTGCATGCAGGCTGTGTTTGTTTTTTAAACAGGTCTAGATGGGAAATCTGACATAAGGAGAAGAGGACAAAAAGTGGGACCGATTCTCAATGAAAATAAAAAAACAGCTAAAAGCTCAGCTATCGGTCAACAATCTTACCCTCTTCCTGCTGATAAAGCCAGACCAAAGGTCAAGTTCCAGTTCTGCAGGGAGCCTCCGCTGAGAGGCTGGAAGCTAAGGGAGCACTTCTTTGTTGCTCGGCATCTGTTCTGAGCTATTTGTCAGACCGTAAAAATACTTCTGAACTATCACAGTGGCATTTTTATCTGAGGGAAGTGAAAGGTTTCCCTGACACTGAAAATATCTGCGCTTAGAGATGTCACTGGAAATGGAAAGCACACCGTCCTCATCTCCCTACTCATTTGACAGGAAGGAGATTTGACAGACTTAACAGTGGAGCCTGAAACTATGTGCCTGCTAAAAATCATGGCAAGTGGGAGACGTAAACCAGTATTTTTTTGTTTCATAATCAATGAGAATGGAAACAAGAGCCCTGGCTGGAGAACAGAAGCCCAGGAGAGCCAGGTAACTCCACAGTCTGTATTCCCTCCCCTCTTCTTTCACTGTGCGTAACACCAGGGTGAGAAAAACAGCTGCAACGGGGAGACAATGTTTCCAACAGGCATAGGGTTATTCTTCAAAGACTACTCTGGCCAATGTTAATAATTTCAAGAGTCTGGCTCCAAACTATAAAGGAAGAATGAGAAAGGAGGAAAGAGATAAGTATCTACATCTTTATGAAAGATTACTAATAAAATGTCTCTGGCATTAGGAGCTAAAATCAGTATCAATCTACTTACTTTTAAAGAGAATTTTAAATATAAAAACATTATCATTTGCCTGTTCTAATTTAATTTTAAAATTAACAAAAAGTATAACTTTGAAAAATGTAGAGTTTTATGTTATCACAACACAAAAGCTCAACTAAAGCTTCACCTAAACAGAAAGGTTTTTTGAGGGGCAGGGTGAGGGTTGTAATATAAAATAAGTGCTAGCTCCTAAGACACCTTCTTATAATTCAGAGAATAGGGCACTATGGGCTATCTAACTAAGAGCATGCGCACGTGGATTCCAGTTGACTGTCTTTGAGAACTTCAGTTTTGTTAACTGCAAAACTAAGGGTCGATCACTAAGCTCCATTCCAACCATAAACAGGATTCAACAAGACGAAGAGAATATGGAAAGTACAGAGAGAAACTTGTCTTTCATAAAGGAGAGTTGCTTGTCAGGCCCACTGTCTGGTTTGACAGCCCCTTAGGTAACAGAGAACATTAAAAGGTGAATCCCCAAGGAAATGGAGAATGTGACAGGGAAATATCTTACTTTTTGATCCCTGCCTGGTAGGCACACTTGCTTGGATGTAACAAATACAGCTGTAGCACAGAAATGGCATAAAAGCAAACAAAATGGGGACAACACAGACATGGGAATCTTTGTGCTGTCCTCTCAATTTTGCTGTGAACCTAAAATTCTTTGAAAAAAAGCCTTAAAAAAAAAAAAACCCAGATAAAGTCAGATCTCAAACATAAAAAATGTAACAGGTATTTTGTCCTTATACACTGATTTAATGGTTTAGTTTACAGACTGTGTTCCCACGTATGTCCTTGAACTCTCACAAGAATCCTCCATCAAAAATGCACTCTGACCTCTTCTGTAGCAATGAAGAAACAGATGGAGCAAGGCCACATGATGTGCTCCTAAACTCTAACCTGGTGACAAGCAAGACTCGGCTCCCAGTCTGCTGGCACCACCTCCTCTCTGCTAGGCAACACTCACCTTACTAGCAAGGTGACAGCGCCGGCGACCACTGGAGAAGCCACACTGGTCCCCGAGAGGGCCCGGCATCCCCCTTTCATACCGGAGCCCCTCACTCCAGCACCATAGGTGACAATATCAGGTTTCATTCGGCCATAGCCTCCCGGTAGCTCCTATAAGTAAAAGTAGGTTGGTTTGCATCGTATCACACACTGGCACTCAGTTGCATGTGGTTAGCAGTGAATAAAACCAAAAGAGAAGTACGGGCTCCTTAAACACAGTGTAATCTCAGTACAGTACTGGCTTTCGTCTGAAATTCACTGAAATACAGAAAACAAGCTTAAATGATAATGTAGAAAATACAATTATTTTTGGAGTGCTTTATGATAACCAGTGCATTAATAATGCTATAAAGCAATTAAAAATGAATATTTTTGTTATCATGCAACACTACAAATTGGAAACTGAATTATCTCTAGATAACTTAAAAATTAGACATATCTTAGAAAAATCAGAAAATTAATATTAAAAATTAGGAAAAGGAACATTTTCTTTATAAGGGAAAAAAGTACATAACATGTATTACTGAAGATTTTAATCTGCCACCAGAAGGGAAGAGAAAAAAACCTTCAGAATGATAAATGTAACTGTACGAGTAACTTAGGATTTTAACTGAGTACTTTGAAATTTCCTAGAAACTGAGGCAAAATGACAATTACAATAGGATCTTATGTTCTGTAGAAAGAAGTATCCATTTGAAATGAAAAAACCTTTCACGGCAATCAAACAAAAACAGACTTTGCATCCATCTATGTGGGACACTGCATAAAGAAATCTTCAATTACAGCTCTTTAAGATAATTCAGAAACATTTTTTGAAAAGATTTTATTTATTTATCTTCAGAGAGAGGGGAAGGGAGGGAGAAAGAGAGGGAGAGAAACATCAATGTGTGGTTGCCTCCCACATGCACGTGCCTTAACTTGGAATCGAACCAGGTGACCCCGATTCATAGGCCAGCAATTAATCCACTGAGCCACACCAGCTAGGGTGAGAAACGTTTCTCAAAATGCCATTAAAAAACAAGGCCTTGACAAAGCCAAGAGAATGAAAATGCACTATAATTCTGTGAAAGCATTCATGAGGGAGGCAGAGAGACATCAGCTGGCAGAGCGTCTCTCCCAAGTATTTAGCATTACAAAGAAAGTGCTGAGGAAGCACAGATGAACAGGTACAAAACACATCCCTGGGACCAGCTTTTTTAGGGTGGAGTCCACCAGACAGTGGCGACAATTGAATATCATCAAAAAGTAGGCATATCGTGCTCGCTTCGGCAGCACATATACTAAAATTGGAACGATACAGAGAAGATTGGCATGGCCCCTGCGCAGGGATGACACGCAAATTCGTGAAGCGTTCCATATTTAAAAAAAAAAAAAAAAAAAGGTAGGCATATCTGCCCTGGCTGGTGTGGCTCAGTGGACTGAGTGCCAGCCTACAAACCAAAGTGTCGCTGGATTAATTCGCAGTCAGGGCACACGCCTGGGTTGTGGGCCAGGTTCCTGGCGGGGGGGCGCTCATGTGGCAACCACACATTGATGTTTCTCTCCCTCTTTTTTCCTTCCCTTCCCCTCTAAAAATAAATAAATCTTTAAAAAAAAAAGAAAAAAAAGGAGGCATCTGAGTGCTGGGGCATGGGCCCACTGCGGGGCCGACTGAAAGCGGCGCCAGGCGAGGCGATCCTGGAGAGGGAGAAGGCTATCCCATGAAGTGGCGCCAGTGTGGACAAGGCTACGGCGTTGTCAGGAGGCTGTGACTCTTTTCTGGGACTTCACAAGACTTCGAAGCTTGGCACCCTTGAGTTAGAGCATCCAAGGGGTGATCCGACCCTGAAGGCTGCGAGGGGCAGGTGAGAGCACCCACTGCTGCCTGAGGGAGCATCTATCTAACTGTGTCTCCACCTCTGTTTTGATGGGTAGAGGAGGACAAATTAGCTGCATGATTAAACCTGGTGTAACTGAACTAACTTGCCAGCGTTATTTCCATTTTGTTCAGCTAAATACAATTATTTCTGTGTTAGCAGAGTTGATATTAGGTTCTTCTCACTAGCTTCTCTTGCTTCTTCTTAAGGCCAAAAAAATCATCCCACCTAGGAGCAAGAAGGGCTGCTCATCTTCCTACTAGTTAGGACAAGTGTGCATGAATCCAGCTGATCTAGAAATAAATTAAAAAGAAGTGGAACCAGGAAACACCACTCTTAAAGCCCCTGCCTAAGGCACCATAGTGACATGGTAGACATGAAAGGGGCCAGATCTCTTGTCCTCACGGCCCGGCGAGTACCCACAGACCTGGCCACCCGTGCATGTGAAGGCTGGGCTTACAAGCTGCTTTTCCATCTGCACACATATGTAACACCCAAAGGCTCTTAGACAAATGGTTCCTTTACGCACATCCAACCATTGAAAAAAAGCCTACCCAGGTAGTCATTCCCCTTGAAGAGAAGCGGGCGATGTTATCCTCAAAGTCAATGCCGCCTACTCCAATCACGTCCATTTGATCAGCAGGGTTATTCAGAGTGCTACATTAAGGCACAAAAACAAGGAATAAGAAGTAATTTTAAATGAATAATTCAAATAAGGGCAAACACTCCCCAAAAATCTAAGACTGTATTAGGTTCTTCTGTGACAAGACGCGTGAATGGGGTGGACTGTGGCTACTTAGAGCTGTCTTGTGGGGGCCATGCTCCCGGCCGCCCTCGCACCAGCTCGGATCACTTCCTCACGCCTGGAACGCCCATTCTTACTTTCCCTCCCTGTCTACTGACCATGCTTCGGCCCAAGACTGACTTTTCCCCTCACTACCTCCAGCTTGAAGGAATCCCTCCTCTCTTACATCACAAGACTTAACACTATGACAATTCATCACCTACTTATACGTTCTCACATCACTTTCCAATTGTTCCAAGTGTATTCATGTGCCGCTCCCCGCCCCCCCCGCCCCAGTCAGATCCCACATTTCTCTGGGAAGGAACTGTAATCACACGTTTGCATCTGCCACGGTCAGGAAGTTAGTTTTCAACTGTTTGTTTGCAGGGTGTTCCGCCTTCCTCACGGGGACTGCGGCAAGGACTATCATTACTGCGCAGAGCTCCTCTAAGAGAAGGTGCAAAGAAAAAAACCACTTAATTCTCTTCAATACCTCAAATGTACTAGATCTGCAAAGAAATTACAGTGGACTCTATAATGACAAAAATGTTTAAACTATAAAATCAAGATATAAACCAAGATGCAGCTAAACTATTTGAAAGTATAAAACAACCAGTTATAAAACTGCATTTTTGAGCTTTATCTATTACATATAGCTCTGCTACAAAAAACAAAACAAAAACAAAATCTCTGACAATTCAATAACCAAAACTGACTCCAAGTGGCTTAACTGACATTAGTAGCAAGATTCTAGAGCATGTGCTTTTAACCAACTGTTTTAAACCTCACAGAGTCAACCCTGGCACTGCCTTCTTAGCCCACTGGCCACTGACATGCTACCCAATGGTTGTTCAGAGGCACTAACAGGAATATTTTACTGGCTGATGTTAAAAATTTGTAAATTTCTATGAAATCACGGAGCAGAGCTTAGAATAGAAGTCAGTGACAAAACTTCCCATTGTAGTTCATGCAAAAAGAAGCCCCTGTCCCACCCTCCCTCTGCCTGTCAATCCCTGTGATAGTGTGCTTTAAACCCTTACATGTTAAGGGAAGCCAAAGAAACCTTTGCTGCTGCTGAAAGTGGGGGGAGCTGCAGCTGCAGATCCGTGCACCATGCAGTCTGAGTGTCAAGGGTGCAGGACCCTGAGAGAGCTCACAGCAAGGAGTACCTGAGGAGGCGAGCATTGTTTCCAGAGTGACTGGCAGCTCAATGCCTGCAATGAGTGACTCAGCAATTTGGTCCATTACTGTCACTGAACCAGCCCTACACGAGGCCCAAGCAGGAAGCCAGAAGTGCACAAGCTGTGCCGTGATGATTGCATGCCGTTCCCAGCACTACAAAGCAGATGCCAGATCTCTGTGCAGCTCTGAGGAGACACAATACATCTGACACAGGGTCCTCCTCTCCAGGGTTCTTGTCTAATACACTAGAAATGAACAACGCCTTGTTTAGAAGCCATTGAGTGTAACTGCCCAGAGAAGTCACAGGATTTCAGAAAAGCAACTAGTGTGTGGCCGGTCAGTCAGAATGGCACATGGAAGAGCTGGGAGTCCAGAGGTGTGAACAGAAGGCAAGCTAGGAGGGTCAGCAACAGGGACAAGTGATGAAGACTGGGATAAACGTGTACTGGACAGCACTGGACCTGAGGGAAATATACGTGCAGTAGTGAAAAACAAAGTCGAGCCAACACCACATGGCCCACAAGTCCTGAATATTTACTGTCTGATCCTTCATAGAAAACGTTTGCCAACTTCAGGCTAGAATACTGAGGACCTTGACAGGGGTGGTGGCGTGCGCCTGTAGTCCCAGCTACTTAGGAGGCCGAGGCAGGAGGATCGCTTGAGCCCAGGATTTCTGGGCTGTAATGAGCTATGCCGATTGGGTGTCTGCAGTAAGTTCGGCACCACTATGGTGACCTCCTGGAAGCGGGGGCCAGCAGGTGGCCTAAGGAGGGGTGAAACAGCCCAGGTCTGAAACAGAGCAGGTCAAAACTCCCGTGCTGATCAGCTGAATATTAAGGACCTTGAAAGCCAAGAAAAAAAATTTGATTTGATTCTGCAATAATCCACTGCAGAATCTGGAATAAGAAAACTGCCAGAACATGTGTTTTAACAGTAGAAACACACACCAAAAAAGAAAAAACAGCAACACTTATAGAGACTCTGTATCCATGGTGCTTTCCCTCTGTCGTCTGATTTTATCCTCAAAACCACCAACTGGGGCCGGCCTCATGCCTACCTGTGACAGGCGAGGAGTACGAGGTTCAAAGAGTGAAGGTCCCATAGCCTAAAAGAGGCAGATGGGACTAGTCTGGCTCCACACCTGCGCTCTTCCCAGTCCCACATCACCCATGCAGGAAGAGCTGGGGGGAAAAGACTGAAGGCAGAAAGACAGGCTCGGAAACCAACTCATAACCTGATGACTCTGAACTGATGAGGGCTGGCCTTGGGTGGGGACATCAGAAATGGGAGAAGTGGCAAACACGAGAAATATTTGGAAAGGAAAACAAGAAAACCTGATGGGATTATTTAGAAATTGGTGTTTTTCATGGTAGAGCTATAGTTAGAATGCATTTATGCCACCTATTGGTCAAAGCACATATTACTGATGACACAGGCAAATCCAAAATCTTGGAGCCCTTACAAGGAGATAGAATCACTGACTAAAGAACTCTTAGGCAAGTATGTATGGGTTTTGACCTATAAAAACATTACCTTCATATATTAACTATAACTTTATGCCCTGAACCCTCTGCATAAGTTCAGCCAGTTCTCACGGCCACTTGCTCTCCCCAGCACATGCTCCAGGGGTGCCACTGTAAGACGTGGCGAGTGTTTCCGAAGGCACAAGCACTTACCTTCGCTGTGTGCACCGTGGACACACATGTGCGGGAGGGAACACATACATTCGTCTCTACTTCTACAGGGTTATGGCACACTGAAGGCAGACCCTGGTCACCTCAAATTCTTTGTTACTGCACCGAACTACACATATCCTGGGTGCCCAATAACGGAGGGTGACAAATCCTATTGCAAAAGTATTTCAGCACCAGAGATTATTTATATACATTACCCAGAGAATTAAAATTGGAGAGAAATAAAACTGGGATCTCTAACCAAAGTTCACTGTCTGTGATTCAGTGACTAATGCTTCACATCTCATGCTGCTTCAGTTCACCATGACAGCACAGCACAGGAACGTTTCTGTGACACTGTTCTCTCTGCTTCCCCCTCTTGTCAATCTCCAAAGCTCCATCTGTCTATTCTGTTGCCTTCTCCCATGTTAGCTTCACTGTGCTTACACCTATCTTTCCTAAAGAGGCAGACCCCTCCTCTACCTCCTCACACCTATGCCTTGTACAGAGTGGGTCTCAAAAAACACTGCAGAATTCATTTATTTCTAACAGATTGACTTCCTGATTTTTGGGGGGGAAAAAAGTATAATATAAACTATAGGCCTCCAAATTTCTATTTATAGCAAAGTATAAAAGAAATTAAACAGAAACAAGACTGGCCTTAAGTTATCAAGTGCTGAAGCAAGCGATGGGAGCCTGAGGTTCATTATGCAGCCTGTTTTTTGGTATGTTGAAAATTTCCATATGCAGTTTAAGACAGATAAACAGGTATAGATAAATATAAAAACCGGCAACATTTTTCAGTTATTTCAGAGAAAAAAAAACACCTCTAAGTTCATCCCTATTGGGGATACTCACCCATAAAGAGGCCCATCATTGCCAATAGCAGAAACCATGATCACGTTGTTAGCCGTTAATTCCCACACCTACAAAATTAGCAAGCATTTAATTATGGAAGTATACCACTTTTAAACAAGATAACTCTCAAAAAATAACCAGCTTTGAAAAATCGTTCTTAAAAAAAGGGTTCCCACTGAAAATGGAACACTAGACCCTTACAAGCATGAATACGTTTGGTAACCGGTACCTTTAGAGATGACAAAAGCCATCGCATAGGACTATGGAGCACACGCAGCAGATACCAGCTTTCCAGGCATGTTCAGAAAACACAGGTGATGTTGGTTACATGAGAAGTAATCAACAAGGCACCATATGCTACTTCCAATGCAAGCCACTAAAGCTCAGGTCTCCACCCACCTGTCCTTACAAAGCAGTCACCTCATGGGATGAAGCCGTCAGAGTCGGGGCATGTGAAAAGGAGCCATCACCAAATATAACTTTCTGTGCAGTGACATCACCAACCTTGTCGACAAAGGGATGGTCCATGAAGTCGGGGCCACCGATGCTGAGGTTGAGCACATCGATCCTCTTTAAGATGGCATAGTTGAAGGCGTCCAGGAACCAGGATGTGTAGGACACCTGGGTAATGTTAAAACAGTCCCCCAAGTGTTTCAGTGAAAGTCTCAAAGTGCCACAACCGAGTTTTTCATTTTAAGGGTAAAGTATGAGCTCTTAGCGGCATGAAGCAGTAACTTAAACTTCAGAAATAAATCCCAAGGACAAATAAGGCTCTGAAACGTAAACTACTACATCCAGAAACCCCAAGTCCCTGGAGGGAGCTGGATTTCAGCGAGAGAGCATGTTCTGAGGGCGCCTACCTCTCCGGGTCTAAGGTACAGCTTCTTACCTTAAAGTGCACCTTATGCGGCAAAATCCCAAACTTCCAACTCCCCTTCTTATACGATGATTTATCCTAACACACTTGTCATAAGTCAAGCACTTCTAAATAGTTTAATGTATTTGTCTAATAATCTTTATTGCTAAATAGGCTGAGGAATAAATGGCATCAATAAAATTTATTTTATAGAATTATTTCTTTGATGTTCAATTCCTCCTGGTTTCCCAAAAGAAGTTAAATTCCTTTGTGTATCACCATTTAGGTGTTTCTATAAAATACAGAATTAAACTTATAATGGAAACAAGGTGAGTGTAATAATTAAGAATCATGTTTTTAAAAGGCTTTTAAAAATAAGACTACGTATCTGTATTTGCTTGTATATGCTAAAGAAGTTCCAGGAGGAGAGGGTATAAGAAGTTAAGCTCTCAAATGAGAGGCAGGGGAAAGTAAGGTAAGCACCTGCTGGATACGGACAGGGTTGGGAGAATTACCGTGTTACCTTTTACATAAATATATAAATTATGTATCACCTATACAAAAATTAAATTTTACAAATAAATACTAGGACCCTTCCCCACTTTTCTATAAATAGTTTCTAAATGAAGAGTAAGGAATAAGGCTTGAAAATCCACAATACTCAACACAATGCTAAGTGCTGGGCTACACAGGTGACCGGCAAGGTGGTCACAGTCCAGGAGGGGTGGCACGCACACACACACGTGATTATTCTCTCATGTGGAAAGCACAAGAAATGTGCCCAAGACATGGTGGCACAAGAGCCTCGGCCAGGCCCAAAGGAGAGGAAGAAACTGGTAGTCACGGAATCCCTGTGGGCAGCTGCCCCAGAGCAGGGTCTTCAGAGTTCAAGTGAGGCCAGCGGGGGGGAGGGGGTTTGAGGAGACGGGCAAAGCCACAGAGAAGGGACAGTGGGGACACAGCATGGCGCACATGGGACGCCAGCCGCAGCTCAGCCCACTGATGCGCGCTGCACTTAAACCAGTGTGTATTTTCTAGAGTTTTCATTTTTTACATTTAATATGAATCCTTTAAGTTTCAGGGGTCCTCAACACCTACCTGGTTGTTGGTAAAGACTCTGAAAATATGAAGTTCAGCATCTGGAGCAAATCCTTGGCATTCCCTCATGCTGGCTATCACCCCTGCCACAAATGTGCCGTGGCCCAGCCCTGTTGTTCATAGAAAAAAAAGTCATCACACGGCTGGTGACATGTGCCAGCGTGTAACATTTCAAACCACCAATTCCAACAGGCTCATTCTCCAAGTCTTAGATATAGAACCTCTGCTCCTCTGTACTGTCTCCCACGCAGAGCCCACACCCTACCTGACCCACTTCTGGGCCAGCCACCCTGCTCTCTCCCAGCAGGGGGCTTCTCCTCCCCCACGCACCTCTCTTCCTCCTCAAACACTACCTCCCAACACCCCGAAACATTTAGAAAAGTTTCTGCCAAAAGGCAGAACAACTTGAGTGTGTCTGAATAAATGCTGCACATGAACTGGTTAATCGTTGACACATAAAGTACTTAACCTTTAAAACAGAGGCTGGGAGTCATGCACGAAGCCCCCTTGTGAGGAGAAAATGCCTCACCGGTGGTGTCACCACTGTGCTGCCACCTACCGTCATCCAGCGTTCGCTCATTGGTCCAGTTGGTTCTCTCCTTCACATTTTTGAAGTGGGGATGCTTCTCACTCAGCCCAGTGTCAAAAACAGCAACCCTTACGTTAGCACCTTATTCCAAAAAGAAAGTAAACACAATCACATTTGAGAAATCATCTTTTTTAATATTTTGTCTGTCAAATACATCCCTCCTTGGGATCCGTGGAGAACATGCCATCAAGGGCCGAAGGCCCTGGGAGGGCATAAGGCAGGTGCTGTGCCCCGGGGGCCCGGGCTGGGCCAAGACGGAGGAAAGGGGCAGCTGGGGGGCGCCATCTTCTGCTGCTAAACAAGACCTGAAGATAAGCAGGAAATCTCTCCGGACGCTCCTCAACAGCCACCGCTTCCCCTTCAGACAATTTCCTCCAGGTCTCCATCCCCTCACCTCCTCAGAGAGGTGCTTCACGAAGCACCCCCTCGGGAAGCGGGGCCAGCTATCTACTGAGTCTACTCCAAATACTGGCCAAAAGCCATCCGCACCAATGTGAAACAACTGAAGCTATCAGACCAAGAAATTCCAGAAAACATGTAGAAAAAGAATAAAAGATAATTCTGTTAGTTAACAGCTAATAGCTGCAATGAAGGTAATGTGTTTCTAGTATGAAAGTTGTGTTTACATATCAATACTACCTTTAATAAACTATTATAGTGAGATAACCATCAAAATGCACTGCTTACTTTTTAAAAATGCATACATAAAATTGGAAACCATTTGGTTTGGAGGGGATTAAATAATGCTTTTCTGAAGATTAGAGATTTTGTTTTGTGAAGGAGTTTTCACCTTAAAAGGCTAAAACCGAGAAGACACAATCATTTTAATAAAATCAGTTCACCAGGTGTTAAAAGCTTAAGTACCTTGGGTGCTCTGAAAGGCAGACAGCTGACGAACTCAAAGAAGAGGTAGGGTCTCTAAGTCTAGGAGACACAGGTGGACAAACTGTGATGTGCTGGGGACTAAGGAAAAGCATTTACAGTTGAAAGTCAGGGTCCAAATCTTCACATTAGTTGAAAAAGAAATCTTCTGCTATGATGAATCAGTAAGAAAAGAAAATCTTATTGGATGTGAGTCTCTTTCACAGAATATAGTCATTAATATTGTTTCCTGCTCGGAAATAAATCATCAACAAGTGCGAGTCAATTAATTAGCCATTCTGCACAAAGGGCACCACACCGGAGTGATAAACTCATTTTCATGAAACCGCCCAAATCAAGGTAACTATCTTTGAGTTTGATCTCTTTCCCAGAGAAATTATAGAACTTTGCTGGACTATCACTCAGCTCTAACAGCAAGCACTGCTGTGTGTGTTTGTGTATGTGCTGTGCGTGTTTGTGTATGTGTCAAGAGGAAAGAAATGCTTCATGATCTACCTCTTGTAACCTCAGAAATGGTACAGAAAAATAAGACTCAAAAAGTAAACAGGATTCAACGATTAGAAAAGCCATAGAAAGAGATACCCAGCACAGCAGGAGTCAGAGACAACGGGCAGCCAACTGTGTCTAGCTCAACAAATAATGAGAAGCAGAGATGCATGAGGCCATCTGGTTTCAGCACTAGATACTCAAGAGGGCAGCCTTGTCGCCACCAGACCCTGCACCGCTTCCGTCACAGCACACACCTGTATATCCCATCTGCCAAAGCACATCCGCCTGCAGGGTCTGGGCAACCTGGCGTGGGATGGCTCTCAGCAACCGTCGACTCGAATGTCTTCCCGTAGCGTGCCAGAACCCAGAGCCTAGGGAGAGGCTGGCTCTTCGCAGGGGACGGGACGACTGCCACTTCTGACTCCATCGGGTTTCATTACAGGGCACTACGGGGTCAGCTGAGGCCAAGAAAGGAAAGATACTAAAATGACACGATGCTTGTCAGAGAAAACAATCATTCTAAACAGGACTGATTACCTTCTGAAATCCTGTCTAATGGAAAATGAGATTCTCTCCCTTTGCTGTAAGAGTTTTCTCATTGCAGTTATATTTATAGCATATTAGCCATCATGTGGTTCCCAAATAGTTTTTTACCTGTAATTTTCTAACCATGCAAGGCAGAAAGAATGATAAAAATAATTATTTTTAAACAATAAAGCCAACTGTATACTAAAACTGAAGATTTTTCATCAGCAACCTGCTCTCACTGGACAAGAAAACGGGAAGGGGGAGTTGAAGGGAACGGCTGCCATTCAAGTGGAAGGTTTTACAGCGCTGCTTTCCAGGGGCAGGAAACGGCCTCGTTATCCCATTACACCTTTCTCTGGCCAAATAGCAATAGGACCTTTTTTCAACTGCATATTTCTTGATATTCTCACTATGCTTCTCTACTAGAATGCCACCTTTCAAAGCACAAAAGGGCTACAAAGGAGTCAGGGCATTTCTGAGGGTGAGGGAGCTGCGTTGTACCTTAATTTGGTTGTTAGGAACCTGACTGTACACTTTCATCACAACTTGCCCCAGTGTTCACTAAAAAGCATAGATTTTACTACCTGTAAATATCTTTCTTTTTTTTTTTTTAATGGAGAAAGCAAAAGAAATATCACAAGAGCTGTCCCTTTACTTTTCAAAGACTATGCTCTAATGGAGAAAAAAACTGTATTTCAACTCAGTTTTAAGAAGAGCAAATCTGTAATGTTACTGAAGTTCTGTTTCTAAAGCAAATTACTATCATTTTTATTCTGGTCTTACCGAGCTACACCCATGAAAGTACAGGGAACTAGAAAAATATATAGTCATGTCAATTCCACTGAGTAATTGTTTGCACGATAGAACTGAAATTATTCTGTATTGAACTTCCTGTGTTGATTCTGTTCTTTAAGTCAACAGCATGGGACAATACTTGAGGTATTTACTGAAGAAAAATAGTTACAACAAGGGAGGGGTCTGTTCTGCTTTAACGACTGAATTCAGTTCTGGCTTCACTCTTTGAGAACAATTTAGAAAACCGTAGAACATTAAAGGAAAGCAATTAAAATGATGAGGGGGCTTGAAATCATGTCACATGAGTAAGTGTTAAAAGAACTGGAGATTTTTCTCACCCGGAGCGAGGCATGGATATCTTCAGAATACATCTTTACAGACTGTCTGAAGGGAAAACAGGTTAGCTCTGCCTTACGGCTCATGGAACGGAGGCAGGGATGAGATCCAGAGTAAGGCAGGCTTCACTGTCTCACTCAGGTTTAGGTTTCAGCCTAAAATAAAGCAAGGCCTTCTAACAACAGAACCCTAGAAACAAATAACATTTAATGTCTACTTACGATACCCTAAAACCTGCTGAGCCCTCTTTACACGCACTATTTCATTTTGTCTTCATAAGAACCCCATGAGGTAGGTAATATTATCTTCACTTCTTGGACGAGGAAAGTTGAAACTTAAAGAGAAACCGCTTACCACATGCAGTCACAGGTAACACCAAGAGACACGGGCCCCTAGGGAAGTACATTATCTCCTAAGTCAAGCACAGCCAAGCACAGCATTAGAACTGTCACGCTGGAGAGTGTATAAAGCTCAACCATGGGATTCTATGATTACTGTGCTAAAATTAGGCATTTCCATGTTTCCTAAAATATTCTGAAGCTTTTTAAGACTAAAAAAAGAATAAAAAAGAACAATGTATAATATTTGGTTAATTGTACAAGGTTTGATTTGTTTTTATCTTTCTGGATCGTCTTGAGGTTATTGCTTTTTAAAGAGAAAAAGCACCACAAAACATCTGGACAAGTAGAAAGAGCTCTGAAGACGTCAGATACCTAAACTGCAAAGCTGACTGAGACTGAGAAGTGGCTGGTCACACTATGCAAATTAGTTAGCCTTAGTCCCTGTTTTGTTTTTAAATCTCAGAGGCTCTCAGGCCTAGTATATAAAGGAACAAAAACAAAATTTTATTTATTATTTCTTCCAATGAAATAAATAATAGTAAATGATAATAGAACTAGACATCTGCTACCCCAGTTTATAACAAACTGGAAAAAAAACCTTTCCTTTGCTATGCTTTGGAAAACATTATGTAATAAGCAGGCAATTAATATTTGAGGATAAACTCTATCTTGACAAGCCCAAGCTGTAAAGATGTAGTAAACAATAAGCCCTCAAGCTGAAAAGGCAATAATCGAATCTTCTCATCTTCACACTTGCACAGCTTAGGACTGAAATGAGCCCAGCAAAGGCATGATTGTGCACGGTCAGGAGACTCTGAGAAAACAAGATGAAACCCAAGGAAAAGAGGTGCCATGAAAGACCAAAACACCCTGACAGAAGCAAAATGCAAGCAAGGAGGAGCCTGAAAGACACCACCTTTCATTCCAGAGTGTGAAGGGACCTCACAGCCTCGATATCTGAAGGCTCTGAGCTAAACCTGGGTGAAAATCAACAGAAACGAAAATCGCTCTCATCCTCTACTGTAAACTTTGATTATTTTTCCTACCAGAATAACATGAAGTCTCTTTTTGGTTTTTAAATTCTTGCCCAGAAAATGTTCACAACTGAGGAAACTAGATGAAATGTCATGTGTGATCACTGTACTATTTTTCAACTATCTACCAGGTTGAAAATTTTCAAAACACAACTGAAGGTGGGGTAGGGTGTGGAACACAACATGGGTGAATATGCACGTTCTCTCTCCAAACCCAAGTGAGACGGAACGGCTGCAGAGCGGCCTGAGATCTCGGTACTCACACTCGGCGTACTTGAGGGAACGAAGGACCTTCCGTTGGGGTGTCACCCGTTTGATGTTTGGATGATCTTCAAGTGTTAACAGCCCCGCCTTCTGTTTTTCTTTTATCTGAATCACCTCAAAATCACTAGGGTAGTCACTGGATGGATTATTTCGAGGAATAATTCTCCAATTGTCTATTTCACTGCTCTTCAGGGCACTTGAAATAAATGAATTTCTAGCTTTGGCTGTAAAGTATCCATTGAAAGCCACAATATATTCTGAAATCAATGACCACAAATAAAAATAAGAATTTATGTACATAGATAACATAAGATTATATATAACCTGAAATTTCCCTGGTTAAAAAAAAAACAAAAAAACTTACATATCTTAAAACCCACAGAGTAAAGAACAGTATATACATGGACTGATTTAAATGCTCTGGACAGCAGTTTCCTGAGCTTTGAATTGAAATGATCTGTATGAATCCCCTGATCACAGACTACATTTCTCCAAATCAGATACCTATGCTATTTTTTTAAAAAGTAGATAATAATAAAAGCTTGAATATACGGCAAAGAAATACATGTAAGTTTTTCAAATAAGCCAAAGGAATCAAGAGAAGTGAAGGCTCAGCTTTATTTTACTGAAAAACAGTAACAAAATCTGGAGAGTATATAAGACTATGTGCTAGTTACCACATCTGCTCACTTGACCTTCAGCACGTAAGCATTCAGTACCTCCAAACTCCCCACCCTTACCCGCTGGTGTCACCTGTTCCACAGAACCAAGTTTTAGGGAAATAATTCAGAATGTCAGCTGCCTTGCTTCACATAAGCTAACTACACTGGAAAAGGAAACTTCAACAGAGTTTACATATAAGTGCTATGCACTCACCCCATTTGAAATTTATTGTAAAAAAGAGGGAAATGATTTTCCAGTAAAAGCTAATGTTTAAAGTAGTTTGAAACAAAAAACATGGATGGAGTCCATAATATTTAAAATAACATCATTACCATATTCCACAACTGTTGAGGAGAATTCCACCTTCAAAGCCAGGTGGGAACAGCCAGGGCACGGGGCCTTTTCAAAAGATCTCTTTTCCAGTCTATCACCCAGATGTTTCTTCCCACAGAGCAAAACCACTAGCAGAAGGAGCCAGATGTTGACAAGCTTCATGGTCCTAAGTGAATGTGGTCATAAAATTGCATAAATTCAAATCACACTTTTTTCTTCCTTGATTATAAGTTAATTTTTGTTTCAGCTAAAAGCTGAAACATTACTGATCAGCCATTTTACAGTCTTGTCCAATGTAAATAAAAGTTAAATTTCATGGCCTCTCGTGATGTGGCCTGAAAAGAGGCTTTCATTTCTTTCTTCGTTTCTTCTCCATCTTGGACATTAGGCTTCTGTCACTCTAGCCCAGAAAACTGAGTCCTACACTCCATTGGCACCACACAACCAAAGTCCAAGGGGGATGAGCAGACACTCCGTGAGCCAATCTACAAAACAAAACCAGCACAGAGACCTTAGTAGCACACTGACAGAACTAGGCAGGATTTAGCTACACCTGCAATTTAGATAACAGGGTCAAAAAGATACCCTAGTCATAAGACAATAAATGTGTAACACAACCATGAAACACCTTATTATTTCACTTTTAGTTACTTTTCATCTCTTTCAAGGAAAAATAAAGTTTTAAGTGGCAGTTTCAAAAAATAATAAAGGACAAAATGAGAAAAATGAAGGAAACTAAGGATAAGAAATAACACCAGGAATATTAAGCACATTGGCCATGAGCATCCTGGGAGCCAAAGAGAAGGGGGGAATCATGATACTTGGCTTGTCATCCTTTGCTTTTATGTAAGACTCTGTATTCCCCTATTATTTGCAACTCTTCAACAGGCATTTTCCCAATCAACACTTTAAATCCCCATAATTTTTCAGGCAAAATCTTGGTACATACACCCTTACTTTCTAGATCAAAATACATACCTAAAAACAAACTGATTTTCATTCAAGTCATGCACTTAATACCTTTTTAAAGAGACATTGTGCTTTAAAATTACTCAAGCTATACTTTTTCAAATTTTGAATTATCTTCTTCCAGTTCTTTAAGAAGAGCATCGGAGGGTTTTTAATATCATTAAATTTACCTAATGCCTCAACTTAAAAGAAATTTAACCTATTAAATATGTTATAAAACCAGATTATCTCTTTATTGGAAGTAATAATGAGAGGACAGTTTGTGAGATAAGCTGTTGTCAAAGAAAAATGTTATTTGGGTGTTAAATTACACATGGGCACAAATACATTTCAAAGTATCTCCAGAGTTAAAAAAAAAAAAAAATCATTCTTCACAATGAAAATGAGAGCAGCAATAAAAAATGATGCTGGCTGTAATGCGCCCAGAAGAGTTCTTTGCACAGATCACATCAGACACATAAATAATCCAGCAGGGGGAAGGCAAATGAGACAAGACAGGCCTTATTATTTCCACTTGTTTCTAAAATGGAAACACTTAGGACAAGGAGTTAGCCCCTTTCAAGAGAGGTCTGTCAGGCTGTTAAACCCATCTTTTAGCAGAAACTGGTCTTTAGAATAGCAAGGAGTCTGTAGTTTCTGGGACTATTCACATGTGCTTCTATGAACAGGAAAACAGTGAGTAAGGGGCGAGAGTCTAAAGAACTTTGATAAGGGTAATAATTAGGACTTTTTATTGCTGTAATAACAAACAATACTGAAAACGTCTATCTCTGGAATTGAAGATTAAGCTTGGTGACACAGAGATCATGAGATAGTAATGAAAATTAAGACCAAAGAGAAGGAACAGGGGACACCAAAAGCGACTCCAACATGTTTTATAGCAAGTGGCTGGGAAGTAAGCCCTGATTTTTATGTTTATACTTGATACTTGCAACGATGGAATATCATAGAACATGCCTACATGAAGCATATGCTTCACCTAATTATAGTGCTACTGGTCAAAGAAGACAAGTTGCCCTGGCTGGTGTGGCTCAGTGGATTTAGCACTGGCCTGCGAACCTAAGGGTCACTAGTTCAATTCCCAGTCAGGGCATATGCCTGGTTGCAGGCTAGGTCTCCCGTAGGGGCCACGCGAATGCAACCCCACATTGATTTTTCTCTCCCTCTTTCTCCTCCCTTCCCCGCTGTCTAAAAATAAAAAAAATAAAAAAAACCTTAAAAAAAATAGCATCTCTTAAAAAAAAAAAAAAGAAGATAAAGCTAACCATTGGTGATTAAGAGTGCTCAGTTCATATTAAATTAAAGTATGGTTAAAAAGGTTTAAATGGGTCTTTCACTTAAATAAACCAACAAATCTCTTAAAAACTCTTTTGCCTCAAGCTAAAGAATCTGACATATTTGGGCAACATACAACATAAATATTAGTGAGTGATACTAGTGAGCAAATCTTAAACCTAAATGTGTCAGAAGACCAACTTTAATCAAACCTGTTCCCCAAAAATCTAGTGCAGCCTATGCAAAAGAGATGGCTGACATTCTCTTACCACTGAGGCAGGAGCCAGACTTTAAAAGAAAGAGAAACAAAAAGAAAAGTTTGGGGGAGGGAGGGTTAAATTTAAAAATGATTAAGATAATCAGTTTTCTCCCAAATATAAAAAACTTTATAGGCTTCTGGAAAATAGGACATTGCAAAATCATAAGATAGTCTACCTTAATTTACTCATTAAATCATACAAGTTTATAGAGTGCTAGGCAAGTTTAAGACACCACCAGGTGTTACAGAAGAAACAAGTATTGTTAGTAAGTGAGGGACACAGTCCTCCAGGTGTGACCCAGCAACTAGGCCAACCATAACCGCAAACAGCTAAACACAGCACAGGAAAGGAAAGTGTCGAAAGAGAGGCACATGTGCCAGGGGCACCGGACTGAGAGTTCCTCCTGGGTGCACAGAGGAGGCTTCTGCTGATGAAGTGAAGGGCAGCTGGCACTGACAGCATCTCAGCTTGTAGGGCTGGAAGTAGGGAAACAGGGAGGAGGAAAGGGGCATCCTGAGCAGAGCTCCATCAAAGAGGAGGAAACCACCGGCCATGCACAGAATCAGCAAGTCACCTGGATGAGGGGGAGGCAGTGAGGTGCCAGTCTGGAGAAGCTGAAAGATGGGGGGCAAGGACTCAAGCAAGTCTCAGCAGAACATCTGGCAGAACAGCTGGAAATATAGACCCTGTCTGTCTGATAGGAGTGAACTGTGCAGAAATAAAACAGCCAGGTGGGACTGCTGAGCAATTTTGTTCACTCATCCCACTCATTTACTGAGCTTCTCTGAAGAGCCAGGCACTGTTCCAGAAGGTAGGAACAGAGCAGCAAACAAAATAAATAGCCACCTCCGGCCTCATGGAGCTGACTTTCCAGTGTGGGGAGAAGGGTAACACACAAGGTAATTAATACACACAGTATTACGCTGTTGATAAATACTATATTTTATTTTTATATTCCTTTTTTATTGTATTTTTCCCATTACCATTTAGTCCCCTTAGATTTCCCCTCCCCCCTGCAGTCACCACACTGTTGTCCATGTCCATGAGTCCTTTTTCTTTTTTGCTCAATCCCTCCACCCCGCAACTCCTCCCCACCAGAGCTGGTAGCCTGCCCTCTATGAGTCTGTCTCTATTTTGCTTGTTAGTTCAGTTTTTTCATGAAATTCCACAGAGTGAAATTATATGGTACTTGTCTTTCTCTGACTGGCTTATTTCACACAGCATAATGTTCTCCAGGTCCATCCATGCTGTTGCAAAGGGAAAAATTTTTCTTCTTTTTTATGGCAGAGTAGTATTCCATTGTATAAATGTCCCACAGTTGTTTTATCCAGTCATCTACTGATGGACACTTGGGCTGATATATTTGAAAGGAGACAAAAAGAAAGAAGGGGACGGGCTTAACTTTTAGATAAAGTGCCCCAGAAACCTCTTAGCCTCTGATGGAAGAAGGAAGCTTGTCAAGCCACTTAGAGAATGAAAACTGCAGGTACTGGGAAAAGCAAATGCAAAAGCCCCAAGGTAAAGAGCATGCAGGGCTGGTGCAAAGGAAGGCCAAGAGGCCAGTGCGGCTGGGGCAGTGTGAAGGAAGGGGAATCAGAAGACCAGGTGCAATGTCAGGGAGGCAGACTAGGGAGGGGCTTGCAGATCAGAGAAAGGCCTCAGCTTTCACCATGAATGGGAAAGGGGCACACGACAGAGCAGAGAAGCAACACAGGTAGGAGCAGGGGACCAACTGGAAAAGTCCTGCACAGATGGTGACCTGGGCCAGTGCGGGGCCGGAGAGGTGACAAAGGTGGTCATATTACATGTGTGACTGCAGAGTTGGCAGAATCTGCTGACCACCAGATGTGGAAGGTTGCGAGTGAGGAGCCAAGGTCTCTTGCTCCTAACTGAACCTGAGACAGAGACAGCTGCAGGAAGGTTGGTTTGGGAAACTTTGGCAGGAGGTAAGTTCTGAATGTGTGAACTTTCAGGAGCAGTAGAGCTGGGAGGGCACAGCTCAGGGCAGAAGGGAACAGGGGGTAAAAAGAAAAAATACCTAAGATCAATGAAAAGGACTTTCCACGTAAAGGGTGGTCAAATGAAAGAGACCACCTGTTTAGTTGTTAGATGGTCGCTGACCCCTTCCCCAAAAAGGCCACATTAGTGAAGGCCAGCCTGCTCTAGTGTCCCAACTCACCTGTGGCCGGAAGGAAGAGATCTTCAAGAAAAGCCCCATGGGGATAAATGATAAGGTTGGGAACGACAGGGACATGGAGACACGTGTTTTGTTTGGATCTGGCTGACCGGCTTATGTACTTTAAACGTGTACTAAAACCTGGGTTCTAAGAAGATACTCTCTTCAAAGACCCACAGATCATAAAAATTGTGAGGACACATACTGAGGATTCTATGGTTTCCCAGTCCCAGAGTGAGAGGGCTTCAAAACATAAATTTGCTTTGCGGGGAACAAAAAATGCACCAGGGAGCTAGAGGCATGGGCACTGTGGTTGCAACACTGACCACTTAAAACCGACCTCTGTGCCTTTTTGGCCTGTTCACTTTAAAGATGGCCAGTCACCACGGACTACACCTTCCCTTATCTAAAACATCTATTCACATGTGTCTGCGCCAGAGCCTCTCAGCTCTCACTATATAAAGCAAATCTGGGGAGCACTCTCCGCAGGACAGGCTCACCATCTAGTGGCAAGCAGTGAGCAGCAACAAGTGTACGGTAAGTTCAGAGTATGTCGACACAGACACATATATCACATACATGAAAAGAAAAACACTTTTTAAATAAGCTTTCCTTTTCTTCCCTTTCTGAATAATTCAGCTGAGGACAAGAAGATAGGTGCCCATGGGAGAGCCGCAGTGGCCCAGTGCGAGGCAAGAGATGCGTGTGTAAAGGAGAGACACCTGGTAAGGGTTGTCAGAGCCTGAATGGGGTGATGGCAGCAACAAAGGGAAATCGATTTGATCAAATAAATATTTTACAGATA